AGAGTCATTACAGAAATTAAGTGATAACTGATAAGTGGTAAGTCTATCACTTATTTTCTGGCTCACAATTGAACTTGTCATTCAGATACACTTAATTAATTAAGACAGTAAAATTTTAGTCATCAAACGCACTTAATTTATAAGTACTTAATTAGTTCAGATCTTAATTCATTAAGACTTTTTAATAGTGATTATCAAACACACTTAATTTCGTTAAGTACTTAAATAAATTAAGTCACTATATTATGGCATTATCGAACAGAGCCTTAAACTTTTTATTTTTTATTTTTTATATTTTATTTTTTATTTTTTATTTTTTTGAGAAATAGACTTAAACTTGTTTTGCGTATATATAGCGACAAAGTTACAAAGTTCGCTATTTGATTAAAAAAATTTAAAAATCAAACACTAAAACTAAGTTAAATTACAATTATTTTTATTGAAAAAGAACTATTACTCCACCCGTTCCGAAATTATTGTCTAATTTAGATTTTTATTTTAGTACAAATTAAACAAAAAGTGAAAATCTAAACTTAACAATAATTTTGGAACAGATGAAGTATGTCTTTATTGTTGAGAGACCTATCCACCTTGATCCAAAATTTTCAGGAAATGGCTTTGGAAACTGGTATATCTATTAGACTTTGATTTGGAGATATCGCTCTAATTTTGAATTTAATGATCACATTAAGCGAGTTTATGATATCAAATGTTGAATAGAATTTGCGGAACCTATATATGTCAATATTTGGTCGACAAAATGCTCCCCTGTCCACCATCAGTTAGTACATATAGTATGCTCCTTTGTCCAATATCAATCCAAATAATTTTCTTCTCGAATTCTTTTTTTTTTCTTTTTCATTTTTGTTCGAAGCCGAATTAGAAATTAATTACTAACCAGGCACAATTTCCAGTTTTTTCTTTTTTACCAGTGGATTGCATAAATTTCATCCTGAAGCTGATCACTACAATTTGCAAGCTTCTCTTACATTTAACTGCTAGTAAGGCTGGTGTTTTTGCGCATATAGTTGATCTTCATAATCTCTTTACCAGGTCCCCGAAATTTAAATTAATATTCCTCAATAAATAGAAATAAAAAAAGTTATGTAGTCTAAAATTTATTAGTAGAAAATCTTCATTTGGTGTTAATTACATTGTAACTTGGAATATTCATCAATCACCCCTGGAAAACGTTGACTCTTCTTTTTTCTCCCCCTTGTACTTCAATAAAATTGAATGTTAATTGAGAAAACCCCTCTTGCAAAAGTATTCAAACAATAAGATAAAAAATGAAATGTTATGGTGCGAATGATCCCCTTCGTTTTTCTTTTTTCTTTTGAAATAGTCTATAATCTTTGTTGATAAATGAACAATACTCCTGAATTTTTAACCCCGAAAGGACGCTAGTAGTAGTATTCAATTTTAACACTCCGTACTCGCAAGAGCCATGTTTATTTATTAAAATGGTTTATTATGTTAGATCTTTGAAAATTAGAGGGGCAACGGAAAACCAATTGGCCGTTGAATGCATGGTAACAAACATGATGATAAAGATATGTCAATTTTATAATATTGCGTAAGGTTAATTATGGGGTAAAAAAAAAATTGAGGAACCACAAGAGGGGCAAGCTGTGGGCACTATAGTGGAACGGTCCAATGCATGCAAACATCATAATATGCAACAAACCCTAGGGTTTGCCTTGTACACTATGAATGTAATTTCGAAATGATTTAGTGCGGTAAAGTGGTTTATTAATATTAGTAGAAGAGAGTAGTAAGTTTAACATGTACTCAATTGTTGTCTTAAAAAATAGTTCTCTTTCACTATAATTTGTGAATTGTCCTAAAAACAAAATACAAACAATGATATGGATTATTTTTTAGGACACGTACGAATTAAAAGGAATAGAATAGTTCATGGTATTTGTACGAGCAGTTACGAATTGATAATCTATATAAAACTCATTTTGTTATGGATTGCACATAATGTCCAAAAACATGAGGTGTAATTTGGTATTAGAATTAATGAAAAGGCCTCAATTGATTTGGACTAGAATAGTTTATTAATTAGTGATACATCATGGTAGCAGACCAGGTATAATAACATTATTAGTTCATATTTCCCCATCATGCAACTAAAGGTTTGCTTTGGTTGTTTAGCTTTAACTTATTCATCAGTTCAAGATCTAGTTTCACCTTCAATCTGTTTATTCTAACCAATTAAAAACTATATCACGAAGCAACAAATTCTTTGTCAAATGGTTGGTTAATACTGATATTTAATTAATTACTTGGTTTTTAAGGCTCACATTTTGAAAGAACTCAAAGGACATCCCACTTTGTTGATTCGCTATTCCTGACAGTAATCTTTAAGGTAAAAAAAGAAGAATACATATTGCAGTGACTACTTTCCGAAATGGTCTTCTTCGACTTAAATCCTATTAATTTGGGAGGTAGATTATAACAGGTGGTGCATATATATCTTTCGTCTTAAAATGATTATCTAGTTTGAATTTTAGTTTAGTATTCTCGCTGTCTCAAATTATTATACATTTTGATTTTTCATTTTTAATTCAAATTGTACTAAACTGAAAATAAAAACTGGACATTAATTTTGGAACGGAAGGAGTATAAATTACGTAAAAAAATAAAAATAAAAATATGAGATCGTAAACTGAACAGTCATCTGGGTACGAATGGTGCAAAACTGTATATAAATTGCAATAGTTGGTTTAACTCAAGCAGGCTAAAACAACACCATCCGATTTATTCCCTTTTAGATGTTTGACTTTCTGTTTTTATTTTGTTATCTTTGACACAGACAGAGATGGAGACGTGTGGCTTGTACCGTTGTTGAGTATCCGAAGTGGTATGATTAATTAAAGGAGCTAAAGCAAAAACCTTACATCACTTCATGCGTTATATCGCAATTATCAAATACACGTATTCTTTTCCTCTATATAGAATATACTTTTTTTATTTATTTATTGTTTTCAGGAAAAGAGTAATCATGTTTGAACTGTGAAATACTGTTTTAGTTGGGGGAAATTCCTGAAAGGAGAGAGTTTATGTATATTTAATGGCTATATATTTTATCTAGGGTCATAAAATTATCATTGGAAGTAGTTTCTCCGAAAAAGAGTTCAAATAAACTACTTTTAAGTGATTATGTGAAGCACAACAAGCTAACAATAATCACATTCGAATGAATATTTGCAGAAATGTAATACTCCCTCCGCCCCAAAATTATTGTTCAATTTGAGATTTCACTTCAGTTTGAGATTTCACTTTTAGTACAATTTGAACTAGAAATAAAAACTCAAACTGGACAATTATTATGAGAAAGAAGGAATACTTAATATTAGGGAAAACATTAGAAAACCTTTTTTTTTTTTTTGGAAATACCCAATTCCTGCATAAACCTGTGGTTGGCATCTCATTTTCAGCAATTTGAAGTTAGCATAAATGTCGTTAAGTCATAACTAAAACTTTATAATTTAGAAAAAAAAGAAAACAAAAACGAAATGCAATCAAAAGTCTCTTTATGAAAAGATTGAACTGGGGCCCCCAAAATTTGTTGTGGTATTATATATTCCGTTTTTCCTTTCCTTTCCTACAAGAAAATCATCTATTGGCTACAAAATTAACGAATTTGAAACACAGACGATTATCCTTTTAAATTTTAATGTAATACTTCAAATTTATCATTTTTTTTTTGCTTTAAAGCAGAGATATAGTACTAGTTTATTATGTCTTCTTTTTTCCCCTCTCCAAAAAAAATTATATGGCATTGGAAAGTTACATCTTATTAGTTTTGGACACCTTAAACAAAGAACAAATGTTATTTATTTACAAATATTCAATTGTGCCCATATTAGTTTGTTTTTAATAAGGAAACAGTAGTTTATCTCCATATTTTGTTATGAGAATATTCTAGACATTATGAAATTAGACTTCTTTTTTTAAGGCAATTTTTTTTCCCAATTAAACTATTTTTTTGGAAGGAAAAAAAAAATTTCGGAAGCATAGAACTGGAACTAGATGGTCGCTTTGTCACACCTATTATTGCACATTACTAATTTCTACCATTAATAAAATTAAAATAGAAAGATCCCATAGTGAAAGCAACTTTACTTACTGTTCCTACGTGAATTTATAGCATGCACCTCACAGAATTAAATGCAACCATACTATGTCAACTCGTTTTCAATCAACTAACATTGTTCATTTCAATTCATGAGAGGTGGATGTAAATGGATTTTAAAACTCCCTTTGGCCTTTGAGATTGCCATGTGATTTTAATTCATCCTTAGCTCAGATTTGAAGAAATTACTATTTCACTCGTGAGATAAATATTACTAAATAGTTACAAATTGTAACAATTTAAAAAGCAAAATCCATGGCTTTTTGACAATTGAGACTTGAGAGTAGTCAAAATCGTAAAATAATTAGTTCAGTTTTAAGTTTGTGATGTTTAACCATCACAATTCAATAGAGATATTCCATTTTATCCAAGAAGTAAAGGGGGGAAAAGGTATTAATATGCAGTTTAAATAATTAGATTTAGGGTAACTTTTTTTTTTTTTTGCATTATGCCCCTAATAATGGTTAATGGACACATGCTAACTATTTAAGAATATTTAACCGTGTGAGGCTATATTTTGTGACACGCTAAACAAGTATCTTGTAAGATCGAGATAATGCTATACGGAGATTAATATTCGCACACTATCTACAGTAGCATAAGTGTATAAGCAAAAATCGCCTAGGTGATACTCAAAACATCTAATAAAATTGTTTACTTGTGGATACACACAAAATAACACACAAACATGATGATTTTTCTTCTATCATTTTGCTAGTGTATAATGGTTAAAGAAAGTTACGTGGATCAAAATACAAAGAGTGTGACATTAAGAATAAAATAAAAAGTTGAAAGGTATAAACATTGAAAATCATGGTAATTAATATTACTATATATTTTTTTTAATTATTCACACCAAAAACATCTCCCTTTCAAAGTCTGGTCTGCCATACAGTGGCTGGCTTTTGCCCAACTCCCCGAGAGCTTGAAAAGCAAGCTCAAACTAACCAACCAAAATTTTTCACCATCTCTTCCATCACCATGCGCCCCCCACCATTACCAATCGACGGTTAATCTCCAAAAAATTTCCCCCAAAAAAATCCAATTCCAAAGCCCCTTTTATAAATCACAATCATCTCTCACATGGGTTCTCATCAAGTTTACCTTTTTCCCACGTGAAAAAACTGGCCAGACCACAGAAAGTAGTGGAGTTTTCCTCTGCGGATTATTAATTATATGTGTGCTATATTACATAATTTGGTTGGGTTTTTTGGCCATTAATTTTTGGTAAGTTTAGTTTAGGGGGTTATAGGATGACTCAGGCAATGGTGGTCGGAGATGCGGGGAACTCCGGCAGCCAGAATGATGGCCGGACGGTGATGGTTGGAGTGAAATTGGATGCACAGAGTAGAGAGCTACTTACTTGGGCTTTGGTTAAAGTGGCTCAGCCTGGAGATCGTGTTATTGCTCTCCATGTTCTTGATAGTAATGGTATATAATTATACTAGCATTTCAATTATTACCACCACTGCATGTCTGCCGGAGTTTTTCTGAACTGAAATTCTAAATGGGCTTTTGTTTACTATTGGGGATTTTAGAAGATTTCACCTGCAATGTGTTTCAAATGGAATGCTTAAGAATATTTCTGTTTCTGGATTTTAGTTTTCTCGGTTTTCAATTTCTGTTTCTTTTTCTTCGAAGGGAGTAGTGGGATTTTCATTTGTGCTTTGCAGTTTTACCCTGGAATTTTGGAGTTTGGAAGAGCTTTATTTCTTTTGAATGAATCCAGCCTTAATTTTTATGGTATCTGTTTTTTTAAAAAAATTAATTTATATCATTATGGTGAATTTGGATTGTGCAGAAATTGTGGATCGCAATGGAAAATCATCTCTGCTGTCGCTTGTGAAAGCTTTTGATTCTGTTCTGGCTGTGTATGAGGGCTTCTGCAACCTTAGACAGGTTGAACTTACTTTTCATTCATAATTTTTGTTTGTAGAGTGCAGTTGAAGCATATTTCTGTGTAGGAGAAGAACATAAGCATTGTCGGTGGCAAACATCCTCTGGCTTTAAAGTGACTTTTGTACTTGTGCTTTCTCTTCTTAGGTTAAGAACTTAAGACAAAGAAGCATGTTTAAAAATAAAAATAAAACTAGTCTGATACTGGTTTGTTGTATTGTCTCTAGCAAGGTCTCTGAATAATGTTTGTGAAAATTTTAGCTCATCTTAGGGTCTTGCTGGTGATTATGCAGGTAGATCTCAAACTAAAGATCTGCAGAGGTTCATCAGTTCGGAAAATTATAGTTCGTGAAGCACAATCTTACTTTGCCTCTGAGCTTATTGTTGGAACTTCGAGGAACCATCATACTATCAGGTCATCGGCTTCTGTAGCCAAATACTGTGCGAAGAAGTTGGCAAAGGATTGCTCGACTTTAGCTGTTAATAATGGGAAAGTTGTCTACCACAAGGGTGCCTCATCTTCTCATTTCAGCATAAAAGGTTGTAAATCTACTTATGAAATCTAAATTGAGTTGCTTTTTTAGTTTTGCAGGAAAATTATTTGTAAATTTGTGTGAAGATTCAGTTTAAATTTTGTGTTTTTTCTGTGCCTACAGAACTTGAGCATCATCATAGAAATGGTCTGCTTAGCGCAATTCAGAGAACTTTGAGTAAGAATACCAAAGCAATCACTGATGGCAATATGAAGGGAATTCTGACGTCCGAGCTCGGTTCTTATGGCAGCGTAAATCTGGCCCTAGGAAATACTGATTCTAGACATCAGGATGTAACTCTGAAAAGAAATTGTTCTGTTTGTTCTGTTGGAGCAGTATTGGAAGATGACTGCATGCAATCAACAGATGAATCTTCCTGTGATGGCAGTAAAGATACTTCAATGGCTGTAGTGCCAGTACAAAAGATAGAGGTTGCATCAAGTTCAATTTCTCTGCTGATAAAGGAGTTGCCTGAAGTTAGACCTGGTTGGCCGCTTCTTCGACGTACGATATTGTCAAATAAGAGGTCATCTAACAACTCATCAGTTCGACAGATCTCTGTGGTTCAATGGGCATTGCGTCTGCCCAGTAGGCAGTTTTTGTCAGTTGAATCAAATTCAAAAGGTGGAGTCTGTGACCATGGTATAGATCATTCCTCCGAAATGGATGGAGAATCTGGTGCCATTGTTCCAGTGGGCGGTGAGAGTCATGATAACCAAGAATCTGAAAACAGTATCTCCGATGCCTTACCAAAGGTATTGGAAGGTTTGCACGAAAAATACTCAGCGACTTGTAGATTGTTTACATACAAGGAACTTCTCTCAGCAACTTCAAGTTTCGCACCTGGTTAGTAGCTCTGCCACTTTTGTTTGACCTTTTCTATCTTGTCAATTACATACTAAAAAAATGTTGGACTTTTAGATAATATGACTGGAAAAGGCGGCAGCAGTAAGGTTTACAGAGGTTGCCTGCTGGATGGCAAGGAGCTTGCTGTGAAGATCTTAAAACCATCCGATGATGCATTAACAGAATTTGTATCGGAAATTGAGATAATCACGGCTTTGAATCACAAAAACATCATCTCTCTTTTTGGTTTTTGTTTTGAGGACAACCAACTCTTGTTGGTGTATGATTTCCTGTCACGAGGAAGCCTTGAAGACAATCTTCATGGTATTTGTTTTATTCACACATTTTTCAATTAAATAGATTTTGTTTGTTCTTACTGTAAATAATGTGTCATTGGGACCTCATGAATCAGGAAACAAGAAGGATCCACTTGTATTTGGATGGAATCATAGATATAAGGTGGCTGTTGGTGTGGCCGAGGCACTGGAATACCTGCATAACAGAGATGCTCAGCCTGTGATTCACCGGGATGTGAAATCATCAAATATACTACTTGCTGATGATTTTGAACCTCAGGTAAAACTAGCTCTTTGTTTTTATATTGCCATCAAATTTACATCTCGCATTTCTCATTTTTGTTCATTTTTTCCCCCAGCTCTCTGATTTTGGACTGGCTAAATGGGCTTCAACCACCTCATCTCATATAACATGCTCCGATGTTGCAGGAACCTTTGGGTGCGTTAATATAGATATTACCTCAAATGCTAGTCAATATTTATTTAGTTCGCTAACACGTGGAAACACTGTAATGTTATAGCACTTTAGAGGAGAAATTTTGTAGTGGACTGCTTAACATATTAATGGATGTTCTGTAATTGCTAAAAATGGAAACTATTAGAACATATAGAACTAAAGTACTAAACAATAGAGTATCCAAATTTTGGTTTATTGCTGATGCTTATTTTGTGATTGTTTCTCTTTTGCAGTTATCTGGCTCCTGAATATTTCATGTATGGGAAAGTTAATGACAAGATTGATGTCTATGCATTTGGAGTGGTGCTTCTTGAGCTTCTTTCGGGAAGAAAGCCTATAAGCAATGACTACCCTAAGGGTCAAGAAAGCATTGTTTTGTGGGTATGGTTCTTTTATTTATTTATTTAGTGGGTATGTTAATATCTGTTTGAATTGGCCAAGTTTTCCATCTCGTGTGTTATTAATGGTTGAATATCCATTACTTTTCAGGCAAAACCAATTTTGAACTGTGGAAAATTCGCTCAATTGCTCGACCCAAGTTTGGCTGGTAACTATGACGTTGATGAATTGGAGAGGATGGTTTTAGCTGCAGCATTATGCATCAGACGTGCTCCAAGAGCCAGGCCTCAAATGAGCCTTGTAAGTAATCCCAATTATCGCCTGTGAATGTAGTTTATAGTCCTTTCGGAAAGATAGTTAATGGTGTTCCTCTGCATTCTTTCTGTTCCTGGGGTTCTTGCAAGTAGTTCCAACTGTTTCTTCTCTAGGGGACTCAACGTAGGACTCTTGTCAGTCACTTTAATCTATGGGGATGAAAATTTGCCCCCATCTATTGATGAATTAGTTACTTCATCATGAAATGAAAGAATATTGATTTCCAGTTTGTGATTCGCGAACTTGATATCATGAAAGACCACAATCTGGTTTTTGTCGCCATTTTGTGCTTTGTGTTTTTTGGCAATGCCACGTTCATGTGTCCAACATCTTAAATCCAGTTCCTTGCCGTCAAATGAGGATTTATATAGTTTGTCATTTGCATATGTCTCTCAAATTATATGGTGGCTCTGTATTTATACAATTCATCTCTTAATCACATAAATGTAGGTTATTCACATTTTCAGAATTTTTTATTACACTTAACCGCCTAACCTCTAATGTCCTAATCTTAATTACTAGAATCTCAAATGCGTTGACAAACTTTTCTTACTTCAGCTTCAATGATGTTTGGTATTTTTATGTGTCGTCTTCAGCCATTCTATGTTGTCAACGATATTCACTTCATCCTTTTTATTGCAGATTCTGAAGCTCCTCCAAGGAGATTCAGAGGCAATCAAGTGGGCAAGGCTTCAAGTAAATGGCTCAGAAGGAACCAATGCTGTTCATCCAGTTGTTAATAATTCGGAAGGACCTGATGCCATAGATGATGAAACATTTTCGCAATCCAATCTCCAATCCCATCTTAACCTGGCATTGCTTGGTGTGGAGGACTCACTTTCCAGCATTGAGCAAAGCATCTCATTGGAAGAGTATTTACGAGGAAGGTGGAGTAGGTCATCAAGCTTTGATTAATGGCGTTAAGACTGTTTGGTAGACATTCTGTTCCATTTTTTTCTATACATTTTTCTTTTTTTTTGGGGGTTTAGTGGGTGTTGGATGAGAGGTGCTGGTGTGCCCTCCTCCTTACCGTCGTAGTCTATACTATATATGAAGTTTGATGTGCAAGGCTTGTGGAATTTTTCATTTCTCAATCTGAGGAACTGATCCTACATTCATTGTGCTCATTGATAATTGATCAAAATGTACAGATGAATATCAATAAAGACAGTTTGAAAGAACAGCTTAGAAACTGTGGTTTTGTACATGATTTGCGTTCCATGACCATGAGTGGCGTTTTCATTCTGTTTATGCATATTTGAGATCTAGTTCTAGAAAAGGTTGATACTTGAAGGGGCATCCCATATTGAATTAGGAGATGCTTCTAATTCTAGGGCTGGGGTTACAGGAGAATTCATTATTGACAGTTTGACACCCTATATAGGAAAAAGGCTCCCTTCTACGGATGGTTGTCCATGTTTTGTTAACTTTCTCGAATCAAACCATTTGTTAGAGAAATTAGCCAAGTGATAAACTGTATGCCTATCTAATGAATGTTTACCCTACCGCGTGAATCAGATACGACTGGTGTATAATTTAATACACAAGTGCGACATACAACTGGTATATAATTTAATAAGTACGACAGATAATCTTTCACATGTTATGTTATGTTAGTAAAGCAGAAATATGATATAACTGGTGTATAATGTAATAAGTGCGACAAATGATTTTTTACATGGTCTGCTTTTAGGGTTATTTTATGTGTCAGTGAAACCATAGGAAAAATTTGTGGTGATTCTGCACAAGGGAAGCCCCAGTCAGTGTAGGCCATGGCAAGATGTTATGTTAGGCACCGACCATAATATGATACATACATCAATTCTTTCTTGCCTTCAAATAATGCAATTCAAATCATTCACAGAAACTTGGCTTCTTGTTTGTGTCACAATTTGGTCCGGCTTTGACTTCTGTGGATCACAGTACGTCGCACCAAGTTTTCTAAAGCTATAACAATCAAACACTCGCGAAGAAATGGCTTCCCTACTGGCCAATTTAAATGCCGAATTAAAGTATGAGAAGTGATACATAAAAGAAAAAATTACAAAGAAAATAATGAGTTATAATGTGCATCGAATTTAGATTATCACCCTAATTTTAAATGCTTATTATTCAGCGTGCTAGGATAGGAATAGATGTAACGTAATCTTGTTACTATTCTTAACACTATAATATTTAGTAAAAAAAGAAAGAAAAGAAATTAGATAACTGATGGTATACGATAATGGGATGGAAGTAATCTTATGCATTTAATATTTATTTATTTACTATGTATATATTTCATCACTAATTAAATCTATTTTTTTTTCATTTTCAATGTATATTAAGCAAAAAAGAACACTATATTAGGAAAATGACTACGATTCCTTAATATTTCCAAATATTGTAAAGAACATGAAAAACCTTTAATAAATTGATTTTTTTTGACTAGAAATGGAATTACGTTGCATCCACTCATATTCCAGTGCGCTCATAAATGAAAAATATAAAATTCAATAGATGTGATTTAATCCACACCACTTCTCCACTTTTTCTTGCAAATTGCACATATCATTATTATTAAAGATTGGTGATACATGTAGGAAAGTTTGACAAGAAAATTTATGGGCTTGTTTGGTTGTCTTGGAATCTAGGTAGGAATGTAATATTTTTCTTTGTTTTCAAATTTTTATGTTTGTTTTGTTTAGGAAAGTAATCATTTTCCTAGTTATTAAATTCTAATGTTTGTTCAGTTTTAGGAAAATAAAAATATTCCCAAAGTCAAAGAAAGTCAAAGAAAATAAGTGCAATATTCTGGGATTGTGATTACCCACCTAAAAGTTGTTATTCTTTTTACTTTCCTTTGGATTTTATACTTGTGTATATTCTTTATGTTTAATCTTCATAGTTCACACCATTTTTTTTTATCATACTGTATATTTATTTTTTTAATTAACTCATGCTCTCTTTTCAAACTGTTAATTCTTTGATAAAATAAATTAATCATTACAATTAATTTATATTGTCTAATATAAAATCATGTATAAATTAATTTTGATTTTTTAATATTAAAATTATCATATATTAAAAAAATCGAAATTCTTTATTTGAAAATATTAACAAATACTTTATTTATTTATCAAAAAATATAATCTAAAAAAACTTACATTAACTTCGAAAATTCTTTAAAAAAATAATTTAGTCTAATTTAATTTGCGATATGAATCATAATGATATGTCTAATGGTTAGCAAACAAACAATGATCTTTTTACATTATTAATTAACAAAATATTTGATTTCGCCACATAAAACTAGACTATTTATCAAAATAACTTTTTTTTTTAAATTAAATTTTGAGCAGATCGCTTCAAGATTTTGAATTAAATTTCAAAATGGGCATGTTGGATGTATGTAGGCGATAAAAAAAAAAAATCTCAACTTTAAGCATATTTTCCGAACGTGTAAGCAAATATAAGAAAGTATTTAGATTCTTCATAATCATATTCTGGGGAATCATAAAGTACAGTAAAATGTTAATTTTCCTCGGAATTAAAATTTCATAAATGTTAATTTTACTTTCCTACTTTTCAAGCAACCAAACAAGTCAATAAGGAATAAAGTGGATGAATCTTAACTATTCTCTAATCTTTAAATGCATAAACCTCAAAAGATAAAGTATACGTACGGCTATGATTTCTTCCATGTTTAAATTCCTTCGTAAAATTTTCTTAAACGAATTATTATCCATTATTAAAATGTTAATCTTTTTGCCATCCCAAAAAAGAATAAAAATAGTCCAAAATGAATTTGACATTTTTGTATTTCTAATTCAATGTGAAATATTGTGTCAGATATGTTTGTACTTCAAAATTTCAATATAAGTTATTTTTTAGACAGAGAAAATACTTTTCTTTATTTATTTGTAAAGGAGTACTAGTAGTTATTATAATTGCTCAAGATAAGATCATTCAAGATCGTGTGGAGAAGGGATACTTCCTATGTCCACAAATCCTATCTTCATTTTATTTATTTTTTTATTTTTCCCATAAAAATTATAAATGATCTAATGCTTAGTCATTAGATGAATGATTAAAAGTGCAATACACACACTCATTCTGCCATAGGAAAATAATCCAATTTTGAAAACTAAAAGGTAGATATATAATCAAAACTTTTTGAAAAAAAGTAGTTGACTTAAAAAGGATGATACAGTCAGATCAATTATTCATCAGATATTATAAATCACATAAGATCAATTTAAAATTTAAACTTTAAAGTCCCATTATATTTCAAGAACAAAGGGCCTATAACAAAATTAAGGGACTTTGTCAAGTAAATTATGGCTATCATTTGGCATTAATTTTTATTTCAATGAGAGGAAAGATCTTAATGACTTTTGAGAATTTATTATACTAGTAGGTGGTCCGTCTGGTGGACAGTTTGATGAACTTTTTCAAGAATAATTAGTTTAAAGGATAACCTATTGGTCAGTGTAAGTGCTCAAAATATTTAAACGATGCGTTTAAATATATGTTTTGATTGTAAATGTCTTTAAGAAACTAAACATTGTATTATTTGAATGTAAATGTCTTTAAAAACAAAAAATAGGAAAGATAAAAATGTATGTGTACAATATTAAAAATGATAAATTACACATTTTTTAGTGCTTCTTTTTAGACAATATTGGTCGTGTAGCACCCAAATTCTCTATTTTTGCTACAAATAAGGACCTCTAATCTTCTTTTTTTTTTTTAATTTTAATTCTACTCTAGGTAAGGTAACATACAACTGACCATGAGTGAACACGGAAAGTCTCATATGCAAACTAAGCACCTTTATGGGTACTACGATCAATGTTTCTAAATTTCTTCGGGCCTATCTACAATAAACATAAACACCATTTAATTATTTGTTAGCACTATGATTGATTTAGGTTGTGCGTAGATATTAGCCATAAAGCAAAACCTCACTTATCTTATTACTCTTCATGTAATATTTCTGTTTTAGTCTTGCCTCAGCTGATTTCTGCAATTTATCTTGGGTGGGGGACATCGTCAAAATCAAATACTTGGATGTTGGTGTAAAATTAAGAGAAGTTCTGACAAAGTAAGAAAAAAGTAATTTACATAATATGAATAATTAATGAACTAGAATTAATAATTAAATCCGCACGATGTGAGGGATTTATTTATATACATTTATAAAAAATATTTAAATTTTCAATTCGATAAATGCAAATGAAATTATTAGTTTGAAATCTTATCATAAATAATAAAAAAAGAGGATCGCGTCTATAAAGACGAAAATACCCAACTAAATTCGACACAATTTTAGTTAAATTCAAATTGGACTAAGCTCAATTATTTGTTGATTTTTTTTTTAAAAATATGAGGATGGCTTGAAAGTTTTTATGATGACTGTGGAATATTTGCGAGATTACTGTAATGGTGAAGTATGCTATCATTTATATGATTTTTTTAAGATTTCTTTTTCCCGAATTATTTGGATTCTTGGATAGTCATGTAGAAATTTAGATTGATTTTAGTTTAAAATAATTAAATAATTTTTTATATTATTGAAGAATGCAATTTTTTTCGAATTAATTAGGTTTGAATAAATCATTAATGTAGCCATGATTTGGCCTTTAGTTCATGTATTAAAGAAAAATATTATTACCAAATTAAGGTGATTTTTCTTTTGAAAAAAATGAGAGCATTTAATACTAAAATTAATTAATTTAACATAATTATGATGATTGGGGTGATTTCATATTATTGACATACTTCAAGGATCATTAGCATAAATTCAAAAACTATTTTTTCCCAAAATTTTGAAGAATTGACATGTAAGATTTTTAATTACTTGGCACTCTAAAAATATGTTTTTATTTTCTCTTTCCGGTTTTTCTCTTAGTATAATAGTATAGATAGATAGATTGCCAAAGTAAAATTTCTCAAGGTACTGCTTTAGTATACTTTACATGAATAAAAAATTCACATTTTATTTTAAATCAATGAGAGAAATAATGTAACTTGTTTTTGATGCAATTATAGTTAAAGAATCAATAGATGAATAATATACGATTTTGCAATATAATGAAATTCTAATTCACTATAAATAAAAGTTTGCAAAACATTATACATGCATTATTTAAAAAAAAATTGTAAAAATTATTAAGCATGATATCGGCAAAATTTTTATTCCGATCTTTTTGAAGGCAGGTTTCTGCACTCACATGTGCAAATATAATTTTAAGACAATTTATACCCATTAATGCCTCAAAAAAATATAAAGTAAAATATAAGGAACTAGATGTTAAACCCGCGCGATGCGCGGGGTTTATTTATATACATTATAAAAAATTAATAAAAAAATATATAAAAAGTGTAAAATATATTTGGAGTCCATATTAAGATACATTACACAACTAAAATTAAATAAAGGCGTAACTGTAAAGATAAAATAATGCATATCATTTAAAATGCAAGTGTTCACTTGATTTTTATTGAAGGAGAAGAACTGGACAATAACACTCATAAGAAGAATAAAATAAATAAGATTGTATTAATGTTACATATTGAATGAAAAGATAAAATGATGGTACGCGTAAAATACATAATGAAGTAATTATCAATAGTAGATGGTAGATTATATGTGACTGAAATGTGAAGTTTAAAATTTTTATGGTTATTTTGTTGTAATTAAAGATTCTATGGTACTGTTTGGCTCAATACTTAATATTTTAGAGCAACAAACCAACTGTAGAGTTAAAATTTTTGCCCTTTAATCCGTTTTTGCTATGACATTAGAAAATAATAATTAATAAAATAATAAAATTATGGGTAAAAAAACATAAATTTAGTAACGTCTAAAAAAGAACCCTAAAACATCATTTTGCAGAAGCATATACGGAAAAAAAATCTTATATAACCTCAATTAACCATCACCTCCCATGCCACACGATCGACCCACTATTAGTTCATCACTTTCAGAACAACAAACCAACTGTAGGGCTAAAGTTTTTGCCCTTTCATCTTTAGATTTCGGGTTGTTTTGGGGAGGGGGAGATTTTTGCAGCACTGGAACATACTCATGGTTTGTGTAGCATGTATAAATAGAGATTAATTGGGATTGATGATAATTGATTATCTAAAATTTTAGTGATAATGATAAAGTTTATAACAATTTTTGAGATATTATTAGGGAAAAATTATATTTATTTGGGTAGATATGATATTACACAAATAAATGCATTGGTTTGAAATTCAAAAGATAACATTTAATTATAGTTAAATCTCATCCTTTTAGTAATAATTGAAGGCAAATTTTGTACCTTTTTTTTTCTTTTTTATTAGCGAAAAATACAGGGTCATGTTTTTGGGAGAAGATTTTAAAGATAACATTAATGTTGAATGATAGATTTTTTTTTTTGAATTGTAGTCTATTGATTTACATGATTGGGAGGGAGATTTTTTTTGAGAGAGATTAATTAAATGAGTCCAGTAGTAACTTTGGGGATTCTTTGGGGGAGGGGGGAGGAATAATTCCGGTGCATTAATATTCATTAATCTCGTCCATTAAATTTAATTAATTTTTATTTTCCTATTTTAAACTATAGTTTTAAAGCCATTTGATAAAACTTTATTTAAATAAAATTTGAAGGACTATTAGTATAATTGTTGTAAATATTTTTTTACTCAACCATTAGAAAAACGACACATATAATTTTATCCTATGTGGCACCTTTAGAATTCTTTTTTGTTTTCTCTCTCTGGTTTCTCTCTTAGTATAATAGTATAGATGACAAATCATTACTAATGTAATTAGACAATAATATGTCTATGATGTAATGTCTAGATTCATGATATTTAAAATATTCTCTCTGTCCTAAAATTATTATCCAGATTGAGATTTCACTTTTAGTATAATTTGAACTAGAAATGAAAACTCAAACTGGACAATAATTATCGAACAGAGGAAGTAACATTTTGAGTAAAAGAATGTTGTGAGTCATAGTATATACACTTAGGCTCTATTCGTTTGCATGGAATTGGGGTCTTGGATTTAGAATTTGGGTCCCCAATGCCAAATCCGGTGTTCGGTTGCCAAAAAATAAGATGTCATTTGCGTTGGCCCAATGCCAAAAGATTTCCAATGCCACAATTTTAATTCCGGATTTGAAAGTATTATTTGGGATTCCAAACTCTCGCGGAGTTAAATAATTCGCGGGTCTTTTGCGGGTTTTTAATAAACATTCGAGTTCGGGTCATTTTTAAAAGCTTTTTACCACGATTTTTTTTTCCACTCCTTTGTGTACCCCTTCTTCCTCCTCCAGCCTTTCTCCGCCATTAATCCATTCCATCTCCGGCAAAACTCCCAAGCGATGGCAACGGAGACCGCGACGGCGACGGCGAATGCGAAGGAGGAGAAAACTCCTTGTTCCTGGTAATCTTTCTTATCCCCTTCTTTTTCTTCTTTTTGATTAGATTAGGGCTAGCTTCTCATCACTTCTAATGCTTGAATTTTCACTGAAATTCTTCTTATTTCAGCAGGGATCTGTCTGGATTTTTTGTGGGTTCTATTTATGGAGTCATATTTGAATTGTGTTTGCGTTCCGTGGGTGCCTTTGGCTTTGCCTGGGGTGTATGCGACTATTTGATTTTCAAAAGGTGATGTACTGCTCCCTTTCTTCTCAATTAGGGGGGAGCATGGGTATAGTGGGAGAAGTGAAATTAATACTGGAAGAAAAGAGTGATCTTTATTGTGTACTCAGATTGAATTCATATATCAAATAGTAGTAGTATGTGATATGGGAATCATGCTATTTAGTAGAGTGCCGTAGCAATATTAAAAAGATAGAACTCTCACTACTACTATGGTCCGAATATGAAGTGTGAATTTACTTTTTCGGCATCTTATACACTTGTTGTAAGAAGCCTTTTGTTGGTGAATGATGATCTTGCTTTTGTGTTCTTGTGCAACCGAAAATATAGCGGTAATTGGTAGTTGTCGGGAATACACCGTAGCTCCTTATCTTTCTGTTATTTCAGCTTTAAAATATGTGAGTCTTTTCTGTGAATATTTTAGGTCACTTGACATTTATACTTCCTCTTGTAAATACTTTTTCTATTCTATCTCAGCTAGCTCAATATGCTAACAGCTTCCATTTGATGCATTCTTGTATGGCTTTCAGTTTCACAATAGTTTTCGTGTTAGAGGTCCTGGAAGTGCTGAAAAGCCACCTCATTTGGCTTTGGCTTCTGCTCTTGAGGCTTACGAAGGGACTGCTGAAGAGGTATTATTCATTTCTTCCTTGTTATATAAGCTCTACATATTTTATTATCACATTGTTATTGACACAAAATGGAATTGATGGGAAAAGTCTTCTGTGTACAATGTGAATAATTGTGTCGTTGTCTGCGACATGAGATCTGTTATTGACATGAAAGGCATTAAAAGTATGCATTCTCTGCACAGTTCATCTGCGATCTTTTGCTCACATTGTTGTTATTAATGACATCAAATGTGCAGTGGAAAGAATGTTATTGTATTCTTTGTCTTTTGGCATGATCCCGGGAATTAAATACACATAAGATTTCATTTTTTTCCTGTAACCTCTATCCTGAGTTAATATTATTATGCAGAAGATGGATACTTTTTGTGCTGTTTTGCGTTAATTACGTGCCTTTTTATTCATGCAGTTTGCTGCCTTATCTGTTGCATTATTTAGGGCTCTGAACCTTACTGCTCGGTATGGTGTCTAGACAAAACGTAGAATCTTTCCTCTGTTTTTAAGTATTTCTCTGTATTTAATCTCTCTGTGCTCCCCTCCCTTTTGGTGGGTTTGTAATAAATTTTTAAGCTGTGAACCTTTAATCGTGAATCAGATCTAAGTAAGCGTCCTAGTTCACCTTAATCACTTTCTAAAGGAGATGGAAACCACGAACCTTTTTGCAGGACCAAGAGATTACCTTTTTGTTTTGATATTTTAAGATGGAATACATAATGTATGTGCTAGATTAGTTATCATGTTATCGTGATTGGTTAAATCTAAATGGCTGTTCTGATGTATTGTAAATCAAATTCTTGGACTTCGTTCTTACTATGGCCTCTTGACTAAATGTGAATTAGTATTTCTCCTAATGTTTAAAATGCATTTGAACAATCTCATCTCGATCGAATGCTCATAAATATGCTCAAGGATGCAATCTATAGAATTTGAGATACAATAAGATTATGTCACATTTTCTTGTGTTCTACCCTTGTAGAAATTTTTATGTTTTGGTATCCTATTGGTTTCAAAGAGACAATTTTGTTGTATCATTTTTCTCGCTGCTTCCCAGGCCCCTTATTTGGAATATCTATGGCCTTACAATGTTTGATTGAGAAATCCATTTTCAATTTGGTGTAATTAAAGTATTAATTTGCTTATTTTTTTTCAAGATTTGTGGCTATTCTGGATGCGGCCTCATTAAAGCCTGAAGTAGACAAACCAGAGTCTAGTAGTCAAGCTTCGGGTAAGACAAGTTGTGGGATATTCAACACGTCCACTTTGATGGTGTCTCGATAAGGTGTTTCACCTGTTTCTCCTTTGACACCTCTACCATCTAATGACAAAGACAACTGTCACCGGACATCTAGGAGATCCAAAGGAAAAGCTAAGAAGTTACTGGAACTAGATCCTGATATTAAAGATTTCTCTGGTGATGATACATTCAAGGACATAATACCCAAGCCATCAGCTCCTTCTGTATGTCAAGATGGTCTATCTGATGCAGAGTTGGCTACAAAGACACAGAGATCAAAGAAAAAAGGAGATCTTGAATTTGAAATGCAGTTGGAAATGGCTATTGCTGCCACAGCAATTGAAAGTTCTAAAACTGATGTGGACTCAGATATAGTGGAAGTGCATGATATGAACTCACAACTCATTTCTCCTTCAAAAAAGATTAAACTAGTGAAGATAGAAGATTCTCCAGTATCTTCTTCTGTGATGTCAATAGCTATAGGGTCACGAAAAGTTGGAGCTCCCTTATACTGGGCAGAAGTGTATTGCTGCGGCGAGAATTTGACTGGAAAATGGGTGCATGTGGATACTGTCAATGCAATTATTGATGGAGAGCATAAAGTGGAAGTAGCAGCAGCTGCATGCAGAAAGCCTTTGAGATATGTGGTAGCGTTTGCAGGACATGGGGCTAAAGATGTGACCCGCAGGTTTGAAGTTCATTGTGTGGATTGTTTAGTATATTATATGAATGTTCAAAGACTGGATTGTCTAAGTTTTTTTGGAGGAAAGCTGATTAACTATTCCATTTAGGTATTGTATGAAATGGTACAAGATAGCATCACAGCGTGTTAATGAAATTTGGTGGGATGCTGTATTGGCACCCTTGAAACAGTTGGAGTCACTTGCTACTGGTAGCATTGTTCACTTGGAGCAGGAAGCTTCAACTGTGAAAAGGAAGATGGTGGCTTGTGAAGAAGCTGATCCTAAAAGTAGCACCTTAAAGATGATGACAGTTGAAGTCACGACCTAAATTGATCATTATAATGAATATTTAAATAATTGATAAATTTAAAAAACAAAAATTTAAAGAGATTTTCTTTGTTACCTTAAAGATGATAACAAAATATATTATTCTAGAAATTATATTATTTAAAACAAAAATTAAAAGTTGAAATAATTTCAAAATAAATCAATTTTTTTTCTTTTTTCTTTATTTTTGCAAAAAATAAGCAAAAGCCAAAACCAACCTAATTACTTGACTATCCGAACAGAGAATTTGGAATCTCAATTGAATTTGTGACCAATTACATGATTTTGCCGAACGGATAAATTGTCATTGAATTAAAATATCTTGAATGCCAATTAAATCCCAAAATATTCTAATACCAATTGAATCCCATAAATATGTAGCCGAATACACCCTTAGGCTCTGTTTGGTTGCATTGAATTCGGACCAAGAATTGGAATTGGAGCTCTCTAATTCCAATTCTTGTGTTTGGTTGCTAAAAATAGAGGTCCAAGAATTGGAATTATAATTCATGATGGGGTTCAATTCTTTATTTTTAATTCTTTTATAAGAGCAAATAATTGGAATCCAAATTCAAGGGACTTAAAAAAGCACGCGGGTCACAATCGGGTCGTTTCCGGGTTATAACCTAAACGTCGCTCTATCAATTTTTGCATTTTGGCCTTTTTTATATTTTTCTTTTATTTTTTCAGTGCCGCTTTTTTCTTTTTTTTTTTTTTTTTTTGCTTTGAGCGCTTCCTGGCATTTTTGTTTTATTTGTTTTTCTTCTTTTTTTTGTTGGGCTGTTTGTCTCATTATTATTATTATTATTATTTCATATATATCAATTTAATAATTATCAACGAAATCAATCTAAAATTAATATTGTATCTTTTTTTTTTAAAAAAAAATCAAAAGTATAGTTGTACCCAAAAAAAATTAATAACTAAATATTTTAGTTTTGGGTTAAAATTTTTAATATATGATGACATAGTAAACAACATAGCATTTCAAACTTTTTTTTTTATAAAAATTGTTCCATATATACACCTATATTATAATATATATATATATATATTTTAAACTATTCATGGAATCTTTTCACCAAAAATTGTGTAAGTTGAGTTTTAAGTATCTATTATTTCATATATAATTATATACTAAAAATAAAAAAAAAATTAGCATATATTATATACTAATGTTAATCTATGTATAAATGAACCTCAATATTCATAAACTGAATTTAAAATGTTATATAATAATTTTTTTAATTTTGGATATCAATCAAAACATCAAAAATTAAAAATTTTGAAAATAATAAAAGAGAGGAAAACAAGGATGTTTTACGTGTTAGTTGTTTGTGTATTAACTGAGAATTTTAAGTATCATATTAATAATTCTTATACGTGATAATATTTTTTTGTTTCCAACAAAAATGTGTGTACATAATAAATTTGTTTTAACAAAAAAAAGTAAAAATTGTATTAGTTAAACAACCACAAAGTAGTCAAATATACATTACATAATGAATTTATTTATTTTTTTGTGTAATACATATCCATAATAAATTAATTTTTTTATATAGTTTTTGACAAGAAATATAAATTGTACTAGTATTAGTTATACAATAACAAACTAATTTCAATTCTAAAGTATCCAAATTTTTATGCACCCAAACGCAAGAATTGGAATTAGAACCTTAATTCTAGTAAAGTTTCAAGATCTCCTAAACAATGGAATTGAGATTGAGCTACAACCCTATTACATACCTTCCTATCTAGTTATAACATCTATAAGTACAATCCTCAGGCTTAATTTTAGCAGCAAACCAAAGAAAAACATAACTTTATGGGAACTAATGCTGCAAGATCCTTCTTTCATTAGCAAATATGGTGACCTTCTTATGCAATTGGAATTTGGACTTGGATTCATATTGTATACCTCTAAGCACATCTGCAGGTCTCCTCCCCTTGTTTTCAAAGTATCTCTTGTTGCTTTCCTCCCAAACATGATACAAACAAGCATTAAAAGTAGCTAGGAACACTTTCCTTTTTAGTTTTTCCCCTTTCCAGTAGTGCAGAACTTGAGCTTTCCAGCGGCATTTATCAACAGAGATGTTTCTGCACCCTAGCCAACTTCTGATTAAGGGCAGCAATTCCTTAGCAAACAAGCACTGGAAAAATGGAGGTTCAACTGTTTCAGGTGCTTGATTACAGAGAAAACAGTTGACATCAGGAATCACCATATGCATCATCTGCAACATGTCCTTAGTCAGCAACCTTTTCCTTCAAACTAACCATGCAATGAAAGCATGTCTCGGAATGATCATTCTATCCCAAATGCATTTGGTTTATTCCAACCTATGTCCTGCACCTGAGAACCAGTGATAACTAGAGATAACAGTATAATTCTCCAGGTTGTGATTCTTCTATCTATTCCCTTCAAAGTCTTCCCTAACTTGATCTTGAATCTTTAAGAGTTGCTTACACTGCCAACAAGAGTCATTCTTCAATTGCACATCCACAAGGAGTTTTGGTTTATATAAACCCCATGAATCCAGCGTACCCACAAGGAATCCTTTTTCAATTCCAGATGCCATATTTGCTTCACTATGGAAGCTTTATTCCACAAGGAATCCTTAAGGATATTATTGTAATCTCCTGTAAGCATGCATGGATCATTTATGCTGTTCTGTAACTCCATCAGTCCATCCCACAATACTATCATTTCCTGCCTATTATTAGACGCATATATTCCAGTAAAATAAAATTGGAAATCATACTCTAAGGCTAGTACTTTGCAGTGGATCATTTGCTCAGTACTCTTCATCACCTGTACTTCCATTGCAACATTTCAGAGAATAAAAATCCTCCCTTTTCCCTTGGAATCATAGCTTGCTATTCTCTTCCATTCTTTCTACCATCTTTCAGCTATTTCATCTTCTCTTTCCTTGCTTAGTTTTGTCTCAACAATACATGCTAAGGCGACTCTATTTGTAGCCAGGACTCTATTTAGTTCCTGCTGCTTTAAAGGGGCATTAAGGCCCCTTATATTCCATGCAAGTAAATTACTCATTGATCTCTAGATCAGGGTCAAAAGCATTAAATTCCTTATCCACCATTGTTCCATCTTTACGACTTCCCTGAGATATCATTTTGTCCCAAATGGCTTGCTTCTAACCTATGCAGTCCTCTTACCAATCACTAAAGGTTTCTGATTCTGCATCAACAAATATACCCTTCTGCTTCTGCTGAACCTGTTCTTTGGCAAGCGATGGAGCCCCCTCACCATTCCTTCTTCTACCAGCTATATGATCAGCAGGTATAGGCATATCATTCTTTAGGATTTCCCCTCTTACACCTCCTTGTACCTGGTGTTCCTTATTCTAGTTTCTACACTGTTCCATTGCAACATTGACATTGAACAGGTTTCCATTCATATGAAACAACTTTTTCCTGCACCTTCCCATTTTCATCCTCAAACCGGATCTTATCAGGGACCTGATTCTGAATTTCCCCTCTTACACCTCCTTGTACCTGGTGTTCCTTATTCCATTTTCTACACTGTTCCATTGCAACATTGACATTGAACAGGTTTCCATTCATATGAAACAACTTTTTCCTGCACCTTCCCATTTTCATCCTCAAACCGGATCTTATCAGGGACCTGATTCTGAATTTCCATCTCAACCATTATCCTAGCAAATTGGACTCCTTCCCTACTTGCAGTTGCTTCATCAGTTAGAACTGGAACACCCAACGTACTAGCCAACTTACTAAGGGAAATAGTATTTCAATATTTCAATTCCAATCCCCACAGTCTAATCCAAACAGGAACCCTAAGGATCTCCCTATAGTTGATTCCCTATTCTACAGACCAAGGCTTAACCACAATTGGCTTGCTACCCAAATGATATGCATTCGAATTCAAAACTTCATCACGTGCATGCAATGATGAAAAACGTACAATAAATAATCCAGAAGGAGATAATATTACCTTATCCACCCCCAGCCGGCCCCACTGATGGCATATGGAGGTCTGGATCCAGGAACAAAGCAAACAATTGATGCCTCCCAGTATTTTGCTTCAATTTCGACCTCATGCGCCTGAATTTTCCCTAATTTTACTCCATTCACCACCTGAGGAGATATCAACTCCAATTTCGATCTACCTTCTCTAAGTTTCTTGATATCAAATCTGCTCCACGCATTCGATTTAGCCTTCTTCTCTGTTTCCTCTTCCCAGGATAATCGTTTCTGTGCTCCATTACTCGAGCCTTATCCCCCTTCACTTCAGATGTTTGTTTTGCAGAATTAGGGCTTTGTGCTTTCCACAAAACTTCCAGATCTGTCTCCGCTAATGGATGTTTGCCACATTTCTTCATCGATAATGAATGTAATATTATCCTTTCTGATAGTATAGAGACAGTGCAAGAACTAATCAGATTGGTACCATTCTATCACTGATAAACTGTCATCTTAAAATTGGAAAATTCTACCTCTCTCTTGACTGTTATAGTTATTCAGCCATTTTCTGCCCTTCCAAAATTGTTGAACATACGACTCTCCTCTTACTTTCACCATTTTAGTTTATACTATTGTAACCATATTGTACTTGTTTATCCTTACCATCCTTTGCAACTCCTTTTGTTTTAGGGGTGAGTTCGAACCCCTAATGTTCCAAGATAAGAGACTACACATGAGAGTAGGGTCTAGAATCAAGCAAAAAACTCTCATTGGTCCCTCTTTTTATGTGTATGTTATTCATTTCACCTACTAGTTTGGTAGTTTTGTTGGCTATCTCCTTTGGAGACTGCACAACCACCCCCTTAGTAACATTGATGTATGATTAACTCTTGTATGGCACTATGCTCATGTTTGTTTCCTACTACTATATTGGTGTTCCTTTGATGATCAACTGTACTTAACTCTTTTTGAGATTCCTCACTTGGAAGAACCTCAGTAGAGCCCTCTTTAGTACTGTAACCACCTTTGGACTACCAGTATATACATCTGCATCATCATTTGCGGTTTCTAGCTTGTTCCCGTAGCTAGTCTGTTTGCAGTGTGTAGTTTGCCGTTCTTTGCTGCTTGTTTTTTTTTTTGTTTGCCGGTATGCGTTTACCTATTCATCATTGATGCTACTTGCTTAATTGTTTATTACTGGGGTGCCCATTTATTTTTTTTTGGTTTTGTTGGATGTTTGGCCGCCGATGACGCCTTGTTCTTGCTGTTGTTTCGAATCTGCCATTGTTGCTGCTTGTTTAATTACCAATGTGAACATGACTACAACCGAGCTCTCATCCAATGACAAGGCCATCCCTCCTTCTCGAACATCGACACGTCCTTCACATACGTTGGTGTCGCTTCTTCAACTTAGTCTACAGTCCCTCAATCACTCTTTTACAGTGAAGCTGCAATCTTGGGCCAACTTATGTCTTGGCGTCTTCAGTTTACTCCACTATTGACCATGTTTCTTGTCGTTGGCATTGTCGACGGTACTGAACCTCCGTCGCATCAGTTTCTTCCGTCCGTCTGGCAGCAAAAGGACCACATGGTCCTCTCTTGGATTTTTTCTTCCATTGCCGAAGATATTTTCCTATTCTCCAAGGCGCCACAATGTCGGCGGCGGCGTGGACGGCTCTCCAACAGGGTTTCGGAACCTTCTCTTATGTCTAACAGATCCAGCTTGTTATGGAGCTCCACATTTTGCAAAAAGGTGACTTATTGGTCACGGCTCTCCTCTCCAAAGTGAAGGGTATCGTAAATTCGCTCCTTCTTGCCGGCCAACGCATATATACAATGGAGTTCAATGCCATAATGTTCCGCAAGCTCGATCTCGAGTTTAATAGCATCATAGGAACCTTGCAGCAGTGGTCTGAACCCTCTTCCTATCAAGATCTTCTTGGGCAGTTGGTTTCGTATAAGGTGCTTCTTCAGGCTCAAGAGCTATTCCTCCTGCCATCGGCCATGCTTGTGCAGTCGCCACCTTCCCTTGTGCCGCCTCAGTTCTTCCGTGATGGCGGTCGCGCAATCAGTTTTCTGGTCATAGTGGTGGCCGGCGGGTACACACCTCTTGTTCCAGGTGCAACATGCCAGCTTTGCGGTATTTTGAATCATACCACTGCCATATGCTGACACCGCTTTGATGCTAATTTTGTTCCTCGACCACCTGATGTTCTGTTGGCTACCTATGAACATGTTGTTTCTCCTACCCAGCACGTGGCTGGGTCGTGGCCTACTCCTTGTTACCCAGATTCGGTTGTGCCCTCTTAAGCTCATATGGTCTAGTATACTCTTCCTCTCACTCCCTGGCATCCGGACACTGGTGCTAGTGATTATGCCACACCAGATTTGTCCTCTTTGAGCATCTCGAATGATTATAATGGTATGGATCATATTTTAATCGGTAATGGTGTTGCTTTACCTATTCAACATGTTGGTCAATCTGTTTTGCCATCAACTTCTCTTCCTCTTTATTTAAATTGTGTCTTGCATGCTCCTACTATTACTAAGCCTTTGTTATTTGTTCAAAAGTTTTTTCCCGAGATAATCACTGTTACTTTGAGTTTTATTCTGACTCTTGTTGTGTTAAGGATCTCTCAACCAAAGAACTCCTCCACCGCGGTCGGGCTGATAACGATCTCTATCGCTTTGATCTCCTTGCTCGTAGTTCCTTGTCTCCGGCAGCTTATCTTGTCCCTTTAGGTCAATGGCATATTTAGGGCACCCTAATAATGTCACTCTTCATACTTTTAGTTACGCAGTTTCAACTCCCTCATTCCTCAGTGTCCATGTCCAATAATAAATGTGCGGCGTGTTGTTTAGGGAAGTTGCATAGGGTTAGTTTACCTTCTACATTTTGTCATAGCTCCAAATCTCATGGTTTAATTCGCACCAATGTTTAGGGTCCTGCTTCATTTTGTCCTTTAATGGCTATCGCTACTTTGTGCTTTTTATTGATGGTTTTCCTTTATTCACATGGATTTATCCCATTAACCATAAAGTGATATTTTTCATGTTTTCAAGCACAAAGCTCTAGCACCAAGTGTCAACTCTGATTGGGGTGGTGAATTTTGTCCTTTAAATTCGTTTTTTAAGGATGTAGGTATTGTTCATCTCTAGCGTGTCCTCACACTCATGAGCAGAATGGCACTGTTGAACACAAAATTTGTCACATTATTGATATTGGTCTTGCTCTCCTTGGTCATTCTAGTACTCCTATTCGGTTTTGGGACTTTGCCTTCGAAATTGCTATGTTCTTGATTAATCGCCATCCTAGTAAACCTCTTCAGGGTCAAATACCTTTTACTACACTACATCACCAGCCACTTGATTATACCTTTCTTTGTATTTTTGGCTGTGTTGTCTATCCTCTTCTTTGCCAATAATCAACGTAAGTTCTCTTTCACTCTACTCAGTGTATCTTTCTTGGGTTTTCTCTATCTCGTCTCGGTTATATCTGCTTTGATACGGTGAATAATTGTCTTTATATTGCTCGTCATGTCGAGTTTGATGAGCACCTCTTTCCATTTAAATGTCCTATCTCCAGTTCTCCTTCTTCGCTGCCGGAGTCCCCTGTCACCCCTTGGTTGCATGTCACCAGTTCTCCTCGTGTGCATGCTTCGTCTCCTACACCCGCTGCTCCTCCTATTCTTTCTCCAATTCCCATGGCCTCTTTACCAAGTTCTCTCGGTCCTTCCGCTTCGCCAGCCTCGTTACCTAGTTCTCCTGCATCCAGCTTCCCCATCATCTGAATCCAGTTCTCCTCTGCCACCTCATTTTCTTTCTCCCCGTCCTCATTCAATGGCACTCCATCCTAACCCCAAGCCCAAGAGGATCTTTGATCCCTTGGTTCATCTTGCCTCTGTTTCACCGCTTCTGGCTATTGCTCTTACATCTTCAATCCAAGTCTATTCCTTAGTGGCGAACTGCCATGCAGGATGAAATCTCTGCCCTCCTCAAAAATAACACCTGGACCTTAGTTCCTCCTCCTTCCTCCAATAATGTTGTCGGAAATCAATGGCTTTATACGATTAAGACCCATGCCGTTTGAGTGAGCTCTATAAGGCTCGACTAGTAGCTCAAGGCTTGACTCAGTCTTTTGGGGTTGATCACACTGACACTTTTAGTCCGATGGTTAAGCCGATCACTATTCGCTTGGTTTTGGCCGTTGCCTTGGCTTGTGGGTGGTCAATTTTTTAGTTTAATATCAATAATGTCTTTCTTAATAGTGTTCTAAATGAAATTATCTGGTTCAGCCCTAGAGTTTTGTTGATCTGGTGTGCCATCATTAAGTGTCTAAGCGGCATAAGTTCTTATATGGGCTTAAGCAACTCCTCAGGCGTGGTACTCTCGGTTGGCTGCATTTCTGGTTACCTTGGGATTTGTGGAGTCTCAATTTGATCCTTCCCTCTTTGTATACCGCCACGGGTCTCAGTTGTGCTTTCTGCTAGTGTATGTGGATGACATTATTATTACGGGTAGCACTTCATGTTTGGTTCAACATTTTATCTCTTATCTTGCTAAGGAGTTTTCTTTTTGGGATTTGGGTCCTTTGAGTTACTTTCTTGGTATCGAGGTTCATCGCACTTCCCGTGGTTTGCTCCTCTCTCAGCGCCAGTATGTTACTGGTTTGCTACGACTTGCCAATATGTATACTTACGAGCCTATTTCCACTCCTATGCAGGTCGGTGTTGTGTTGTCCTGTTTGGATGGTACTCTGCTGTCTCTTGATGATGCGACTACCTATCATCGGCTTTGTGATATTCCACAGTGTACCACTCTCCCCCAGCCCGATATATATTTTATGGTTAATAAGCTTTGTCCGTTCATGCATTAGCCCTGCAGTTCTCATTTTCAGGCTCTCAAACGTGCCCTTCACTATCTTCATGGCACTATGGATTTTTATTTGGTTCTACATTCCACTGATTTGGGCCCTCTTACTGCCTTCAGTGATGCTGATTGGGCTAGTTTTCCAGATGATCATCGCTCTACTATTAGTTTTTACTTTATTTGGGCCCTAATCTCATTGCCTGGACATCTCAGAAGCAGCACACTGCGGCTCACTCATCTACTGAGACTGAGTTTCGTGCGATTTCTAATGTTTGTGTAGAGCTGTATTGGGTGTGTCATCTATTGTCTGAGTTAGGTATTTCGTTGCGTTGTTCACCCGCTGTTTGGTGTGACAACGGTAGTGCAATTTTTCTTGCTGCTAATCCCGTATTTCATGCCCGTACCAGACATGTTGAGGTGGATTTTCACTTTGTTCGAGATCGTGTTAGGCGAAAGTTTGTTTTAGTCCACTATGTGTCTACTGCTGATCAGATTGCTGACATTCTTGACCAAGCCCTTGTCCCTAGGAGTTATTCCTTAGTTTCAGGGATAATCTTCAGATTCTCTCTTTTCCGTCGTCAGTTTGTGGGGGCGTATTGTAATTCACTACAATGACCTTTTGTATAGGGTTTGTTATTGTCTATATACACCATGTATATTCACATGACAACACATGAATGGAATATAATCCCTATTATTCTAACTCTTTGCATGTGATCTTGTTATCGGACCTCCAATATTAACTAGCGGATCTTGAACATGAACATTGCTTGGACCTCCTTGGATTTTCACGTCATAATACGTAGGCAAGCAATGAGTATTTGGCTTTAGATAAATCCATAAGAAAAATGTGTATCTTTATCTCTTTATGCTTTTGAAACAACTGACGAAACAATTTAAGCCTCATCATTAATTTTAAACAGTAGTCTTTATCCTTTTAATGATAATCTATTTGTTATAAGTAAAAAAAAATTATCTTATCATTTTAGTTTATTTTATTTTTTGAAAAAATAATATAGATTATCTGAGGCAAAATAATTGCTCTCTATTATATTATATAAGATGAAATTTTAAAATATCATGAAATTGAAAATGGGATAGGGACAATAGAAGAAAACTTTTTTTATGATGAATATAATACAATTTAATTTTTGAATCATCCAGTTTGAATAATTCTATATAATGAATAAAATTTATGATCAAACATTTTCGATTAACCTAATGTGGTCAATTTGTTGGTGATTGGATAATGAAGATTCAGTTACTTTATACATAATTTTTGTATTTAAACTTTAATTCTTGGAAATAGTTATTGTGATAGAATCATGCAATAATAGCGGCGCTTAATATTTTTGAGAAAAAAAATTCACCAACAAAAAACATTATTTGAGATAAATACTCTCTAGACAAAAATATATCATAAGAAGTTATATACGAAAAAAAAAAATATTTATCAGAATCGAGAGAAGGGTAGGGAAAAAAGAATGACATCGTAACTTTCTTTGATTTGCCGTTCGAAGGCCAATTTTTTTGTGAAAAGATGATGATGATGTAGTTATTTTTGTAACTATCTTTTTTTATTTAATCTATAATTCAATGTTCAAGTAGTTAGAGTGATAGAATTGTATAGCAATAAGTGACCTCAATACTTTGGAAAAAAATTAATACACAAAAAAAAAAGTATTGGATAAATAAATTTTTTCTAAATTTGAAAAATAAGATCCAGCCTTTAGAATTAGAGTCAAAAACCCAAATTGTAATGAGTGGAGTTAACTAAATTATTGTCTACCACGACTGGTTCTTTTTTTCACATCATCTATTATTTGGACTTCAAAAATAACACTGTGATTGCCACCGGCACGGGGAACACTTAATGGCACCAAAGTGAATTCCCACTCATCTTCATACGATGCTTTCTAGATTTTGATTATAGAAGACCAATCACCAATCATAGGCTACAGCGATAAGATTTTGGATACTTCCATCTCTGCAATTTCACGAAGACTGATTGACCTTGCACAGCGTGTATTTCGGCTATTTTGTTAGAGATTCCGGCTTATTTAACAAAACCGCATGGAACAACATGTAGAAGGTAAATTAATGAATATGCAACAAAAAACAAATATACCTAGTGATACATAGTAAAGAATGATTTTATCAGCGTTCAACCAAAGGCAAAATAATCAATATTAATTAACGCAAAATTACACCTTGCTATGTAACCTCGGCTCACATTAAATTCCCCAATTTTTGTGTAGAAGGATATTCCGCTCCTATCCTTCTCTTGCTAAGCAAGGCTGTAAGTAAATTAATTTCAAATTGTTGTGTATATATATGTGTGTGTGTGTGTGAAATATACTTATAGTTATCTTCAAAATCAATGTCTTCTTTCATACTCATTAAACCACGAACCTCATTGCCATCACGAACGAAAAAGGTTAACTCAAAAAGTCATGCCACCATCATATTTGAACACAACATAAGGAATGTCCATATAATGGAAAAAATGATCTGTTAAGAAGCTAAACATGTCCATTCCCGAAAAGACAATTTGTACCTTGCCTGCAGCATTCACTTTAGTTTCAAAGCTTACATAAAACCCTTCCTCTTTGGCACTCTATCTTGTACAGCTCTAATCAAAGGCCTAGTTTCTCTTTGAAATGGATAGCTTCTTGCCATTTCTATCTCCATCTCTCTCAGCCCTTTTAGTGGCTAGATTTTCTTCTAAATTATCTCTCAAGTTCTCTTTAACGGCTCTTTCTTTTCCATCTATGCACCCCAATCTCCTTAGTGGTTAAATCCTACTCCAACGGCTAGTTTATTCTCTACCATTCTATTCCATTTTTCTCAATGGTTAAATCTTATATTCGCCCTCTTCTTAATCTCTTGGACTCTAATCGCTAATTATTTCTCTAACTATAAATACTATTCTCGTGAATAGCTCAATCTTATCCACTCACTTTCCTTGTATTCTAATCTCCACAATCTAGATACATCGCCACCTATCTTTTCTATGGCTCCAACGGCTATAAACAACGGCTCCCTCCAATGATTATATTCAACGGCAACTTCCAACGGCTATATCCAATGGCTAACTCCAACGTTATATTCAACGATAACATCCAACGGCTACATCCAACAACTATCACCCATTCTCCCTAACGGCTATATTTCAATCCACTCCCCTTCTTCCACCTGTTCAACTCCAACGACTACTTTAATCTTCTATATAAAGCCTTTTTTCCCTTAAACTATTTCATAAGTTCTTTCAACGTTCTAAAATCAACACACTACCAAATTTCTTATTAAGTTCCTGAGTTGCATCACCACATTATTCCATAGTCCAACATGTTTACCAATGAAGATGTAAGCGGATTCATGGGAGTAACTCGGGTGGAACCAAACATCATTGAAATTGAATGCCGATTGACGCTGCGAAGATATGGAGACAGCTACGGAAAGCTAAGAATTTCCACGGATGGAAAACTGGAGATTGATTGTTGTTGTTTCTCCAACTGTCCAAAAGGTAATTATTTTATTGTTAAGATCTCTTAGCTTCGCTATGTTTTAATTGCTAAAATGACAAGGCCACGAAGATAGCAAATCTCTATTAGACAAATTTAATTTAGAAATTACAGTTATCAAAATAGCACTAGTTAGCAAGGAACTATATTCAGAAAACCCATTATAGTTAAAGTAGATCTCTTGCTTCAGATTAGCAAATGCCCTGACTAAAATTATTGGAAACCCGGGTTAGAAATTTTTTTTTGCTAATTATAGTGACCATAACCATGCATAGTAAAAGGAGCCAATGATATTTGATAGTAGGCATATTAAATCAAAATCAAAACAAACCTAGAATCTACAACTACAAAATTATGAATGGTACACGCAGATCTTTGCTCAAATATTCTGGTTTCCACCAAGCTAATTGTACCGTTCTCTTTGAATGACATTTTATGATTGATGATTTTTGCTTTAATGTTAGTAAATTTGTCACCGGTTGAGTTTGCAAGGCATATGGGGAAAAATACCAACATCGACAACTGGAAGAACCACCTCTGGGTCATGGATGCTGAAGGAAACAGAATCAGCTTGGGAAAAACCAATCTACTAAGGTACCATATCCAGACTTTTGAAAGACCACTACGTCGCCCATATGTGCATCGTGATGAGTTCATCCGTTGCTCTAAATGCAACAAAGAGCGTCGTTTTTCTCGTCGAACCAAAGAGTTGTGCAGGATCTACCATGACGCTTTCCTTAAACAAGACTGGCAATGTTCAGACATGCCACCTAACAAGTAAGCTTCGCTATCATCTATAACACATTCTAGTCAGTTTATTATTTTCCTTAGCTACATTCAGGGTACGGATAGACATAGTATGCTCATATTTGTGATAAACATTTCACTATCGATTTATAACTTATCAACAATTCACTTTGGGATTCAAAATTTACTAAGATAACCTTTTGAAAATAACTAAACTCGTGCAGCTTGTATGAGATTAGTGAGAAATACGATATGCTAGGTGTGACATATAATAAAAAAAGAGCGTGTCGACACATGCTGGGCTATTTAACATTAATATTTGGATTGTATTTTATTAAGAAATGTTTCTTCTTAAGAGTATTTCAATTTTACCTAGGTTTCGGTTCCAAAAATAGGTGTGCAAGTCAAATCACAAAATAAATTTTTATTAGGTTAATTGATCGTTACTCATTTTTCTATGTCTGCAGGATAACTTGTGATGAAGCTGAGGAGCGTAAAAGTAGGAAAAAATATAGGGGTTGTTATGGAAAGTCTAACTGCAATGGCTGTATTAAATGTGTTTGTATTGGTTGCAACATGTGCAGGTTTGAAGATTGTCAATGCCGAATTTGCACTGATTTTGTTCAAAACAAACAAGCATAGGGTGTTATTCCACCTACCCCCCACCCCCTCCCCCTCCCTCCCCTCCTTTTTCTGTAGTAGGAAGAGACTATTTTGCAATTTGAAGTAAAAGAAGAACTACACATTTGTAAACAATTTGATAAATTTCCATTGTTGGCCTACATTTATGATTGACATGATGTCATTTATGCAACTAACGAGTGGAATGAGGCAAAACAATCATAACGTCAAGTTCAACAACTCCGAGTGAGTTGCTTTTTCTCTTTTCAATTTTTAGCATATGTTGGTTGATTTTTGTTTTCTTGTCCAAATTGACAATGTAATTTAATGTAATTCAAACGCTCAATCAAGACTTTTTAAGCATACTAAAGGAAAGTGGATTGCATCAAATGCTAGGCAACTATTACCATAAGAAAGTGCAGAAGAGATATGTAAACACTTTTACACTGTAATCACAAGAATATGCGAAATTAACATTATGATTTGCAAGTTCCTTATAATATCCTAATTAGCCTGTTTTCATTTTTATTTAAAAAAAAAAACATATTTATCTGATAAAAATATAAGTAAAAAGAAAAAATTTATGCAGGTCTTTTTTTTGGTGAGGATGTTGAGGCCCCGGCTTCAAATCTTTCTATTGATCCAGTAAAATCACTACTTTTACCAAGAGTATTACAAACAACACTACCAAATTACTTTTGTCTTGTATCTATAGTAAATCAGACAACAGGCTGCAGATAAAAGTAAGGTAAAGGAAAGTGAGAGAGAATACACACGCATGCACAAGATCCTAATATTTAAAGATTTATAGTTTGCAAATGAGTCAATATAACCATTATCAAGAACACAAACTTTGAAATCAGTTGATAAAAGTAAAGTATCACATACAATTAGAACAAATGGAGGTGCATGATAAAGAAAAAGTAGCAAGTAGGAAAAGAACAATGTTTTAAAAAATCGATAACAGAAAATAGGAAACAATTTCTGTTATCCATAGCAAAGTGTACTCAACCACATTCGCATTGAAATGTGAATTGTTTCTCACGAATGATCATCGGTTAGAAGAGTGTTTCCCCACAGAATAATAGGCATTTTGATAGTTTGCATCTCATTTAAAGATTAGTTGTTAACACAGTATGATATGTTCCACCAAACTAGTTATCATTGCAATATCTTCCAGTAGGGCAAAGTAAAGATAACTAAAATGAGGGGTTCACTAGAGATTCAAAATTATTGACGAAACAACAAGATACTTCTTTTGTCCCTTCTAGGCGATCGGAAAAGAAATAAATGTTTAATATATTCAAGATAATTACGTATTTACAAAATACCATCTCAATTCATCCCATTTCATCAGATCCAGGATGTGATGTCATTCCAACGTTTCAATAAGATTTCATTCTTGAACAAAACTTCATTTTTTTATTTATTTCATCTATTCCATGCCTGAAACGGGGGAGGCGATCAGCATACAACATCGGAATCCAAAAATATAATTTCAAATTTTTGGAAGGTCTTCCTTTATCTTTTGGATAATAAATTCTGAAATATGTAAATTAAAGAGCAAGGTGTCAAAAATTGTTGCAAAAAGCCAATCTTTTAAACCCAAAAATGATGAAATCGTGATTAGTGATAAATCCTTCAAACTCGCTTTAAATTTGAAAATATATAAACAATCATCATTATGATATCTATGGTGAGCTCAAATACCAATTGTAACTATAACAAAGTGCTTCAAACAACAGTTGTGAATAAGGAAAGGCTTCTTCTTTATGTAAAATTCAAAACTTAAATTGCAGCTTCCTACTTCCATATCATCTCCCGCCATACTCTTTCATGTCTAAAGAACTTGTTGAGTAAACATCAATACAGCTATACGTGAATATTTTCCTAATATCTTTTGGAAATAAAAGACTATAAGTTAGAGCATTTCGACTGAGTAACAAGGAGTCACTATATCCAAAGGGATGCACAATTACAAAATGCCGAACAGTTCAAATAGACCTAAATGAGAAATAAATACATCAACTGAGGAAAAGAACAAACAAACCAATAACGAATTAGCCAATACTTGCCTCGTAACTTGCTAGATTTTCTCTCTCACTGCAACATTCATTACCACACAAACTGTCCTGACAACCGAGGGGTGAAAAAAATTAGTCCAAAGTCTACCAGACAATAAACGATTACAACATCAAGAATACCTAATTCACTTCATGACAAGGGAACCAACAGCGAAACACAGAATGTGAGGGCCTGAACCAAAATACATCTCTACTCCGTTGTTCCAAAAAAAAAAAAATTATCTCCAAAAACACTTATAAAATGTTTTTCATCACAACCAGATTGATCTCGAGAACAGCCATGGCGAGGCTGAGGAACCCATCAAATTACTCTTCCTCCGCCGCGATTCACACCAGGGGAATCTTTTCACCTCCTACAGCTGCTACTCCGGAAGAACAAGGGATTGTTATCAAGCGGAATCCCATATTTTGGGCGTTGGCGCAATTGGCGGGAGGAATCATTCAACTGTTGCTGCTGAATTTTCAAGTGGGGTGAGGCCGTGGACTCGTCCCTTGTCTCCTCATCTTCCGGTCTACAAGCCGCAGTCCAATTCGACGTCTTCCATCTTCAATAGAATTGCAGGAGTTTACTTGACTGCCGTTGTTTTGGCTCCTTACTTTCTTCGTATGAAAGTAGGGACGGTGGCGTTTACCTATGACTACATTTATCAGCTCTTCTTTTATTCATCAAAGCTCACCCCTATCTCTGTTAAGATTGCTGCCTTAGCCTTGGGATATCATGTGTACAAAGGGATCGGCCATTTAGTCGCGGATGCTTCCGGCAAAGTGGGTAAAGTTAAAAAGGCATTGAAACGGATGCATTTTGGCATGAGGGGTCTGGCTTGTTTTTAAGGTTATAAGAATCTGAAATCTCAAGAATGAATTTGGCATTATGTTAAAATGTTTTCATCCCAATAACAATTCGCTGTAAGCTGGCTGGCAACAAGGATGAAAGCCCCTTCATTTTGGTGGAGGTTTTTCTTAATAAACGTCTCTATATACTTGATTCCATTTTATTTATTTACAGAAAAGGTAGCCAAGCCACCAGGGGAACCCCACCTTTTGCTTGAAAAATAAATTAATAAATCTATTGTCACTGTATAGGTTATACGGAAAGACAAGTATTTAAAAATATATATTGACATTTTAATTTTACCTTCGAAACTTTCTTTGAAAGACAAGTATTTAAAAATATATATTGACATTTTAATTTTACCTTCGAAACTTTCTTTTCTCCCATGAAAGAATTATCGACAATAGATATATTTTGTCAAAAAATTATACAGTATTATTCGTTATTATATTACTTGAGTAAGGGCCTGTTCGATAATACCAATCCATAGTACTTAATTAAAGTAGTAAACAAAAAAGACATATGTCAGTTTCACAATGAAAATTTTCCCGCCAAAAAATTCTTTTAGTACAAAATAAAAACTGACATGTGACACTTTAGAATTTCAGAAAAAAATGAAGCCTTAAAAAATATATATTATATATATAGCGTAATCATATACAGTATATATAATTTTTTTAAAAAAAAAACATGGAAGAAAAAAAAAATCCCCAATCGAGGCTTTGTTTGTTTCCTTTTTTTTATGGTTTTTTTAAAATTATTAATTAATAATTTTCCCATCCCATCATACCTTTTTAAATTTTTAACACATTTTTTTACATTTCCAATACAAAAAACACCTAAAATACACAATGAAAAAACGAAACAAACATAAATTTTGAAGCCCCAGAATCACTCTCACTCCCACTCTCAGTTATCCATCCCCAAAATACTCTTTGAGACCCTTTATTGCAGATTTATGCTATATTCTTAAGGGTCGTGCTGTTGAGCGTGGTAATTTTTTCATTTGAACTCCCTAAAAAAGACGTACACGCCCCTGCAAAATGGAGTTACATTAGTTTTTTTTTACAAAAAAAAAAAAAGGTAAGCCGAGGAAGGAAGAAGCCACTCCTTTAAGGGGTGGCGTGAAATAATCTCGCCTCCCTCTAAAGGGAGGCGAGAAAACCTTCGCCGCATGGCGAAGGTGTGGTGCCCTTCTGGGCGGGCGCCACATTTTTGCTCGCCAACTAAAGAGTGTGCGCCACCCACCTTAATTACTTTTTTCTTTAAATTTTTTATTTTTTAATTTATTTATTTAATTATTTTTAATTTAATTATTTTTTAATGTATTTAATTAATTTCTTTTATTTATTTTAATTATTAGTTTAATGAATTTATTTAATTCATGTATTTATTTAATTTGTTTATTTATTAAAGTTTATTTTTTTATTTTTTTATTTGGTGGTTAAACAAATAATTTTAACTTAAATATTTAGAGAATGTTGCTTAATTACATAGTAAATTTTTATAAAAGTTTATCATTTAGTTATGTAAAATTTTTTAAATGTAAACAAAAAATTATCATTTAATAAAAACTAAAACTTATGAATTTACTACCAAACAAACTAATTATTTATCATTGGTGCATCTTGCCGTCCTGGAAATTTTTTTTGGAAAAAAATATAAAATATAAAATACGTTGAAACGAAAAATTAAAAAGCATGGAAAAAATATAAAATATTTTTATTTATTTATTTAATTTTTTAATATTTTTCTTCTTTTTAAAAGAGGATTAATAGTGGTTCCCCATTTACCCCCTATGTAACTCAAACCCGTGACCTATTGGTCAAACGTGAAATGTCTTACCTCTAGACCGCACCTCGTTGTCATTTAATTTATACTATTACAAAGTCAAATATTTAAGTTGAAATTATTTGTTCAACCGCCAAATAGATAAATAAAAAATAAAATAAAATAAATAAATGAATTAAATAATTAAATAAATTAAAAAATAAAAAAATTTTAAAAAAAAAGTAATTTGGCGAGCCGAAAACGCTCACCAAACCGAGGGGGTGGCGCCAGATTTGTGCGCCACCCCTATTTTGGAAAGAGAGGCGAGAAAATTGGCGCCACCCTTTAACGAGTGGCGCCTTTCTCTTGCGCCAGCCATTGCTGGCGCAAATGTTTTTCGCTAGTCTTTTTTTTTAAAAAAATAATAATAATAATAATGATAAAATTATCAAAATATAATTTTTTAGGGCATTCAACGAAAAAGATTAGAGCGTTCAAGAACTTTCTAGTATTCTTAAATCAATTCTGTTCTTCTCTGCAGAGCAAAAAGGCAGCGTGAACCTTCTGTTTCCATGATTACGTAAAATAAAAATAAAACTATACGATGAAATCAATGAAGGAAATTATGGTCGTTGGTGGCTGACCACAATTGATAGAACGGAATTCCAATGGCGACACCCATGGAAAGAGAGGACAAAGAGGGCAACCAGATTCCATTCACCTTCAACCCGATTGATGAGATCCAGTGAGAAGAGAAGAGAAAACGTACGAAGCCCAGGCGAAGGCTCTCCTCAATCACAATCTTACGTTTAAATTTCAAATAGAAGACCTCGACGGCTCTGCTCTTTTCTGTTATGCTCCTTTATGTTTCCTCTCTCAAATCCGATCACGATTCCTCAGCCGCCAATAATTCCCACAGTGTTTTCTTGATCCATTGCTTTCTTCTCTAACCGGTTAGTTAGCATATGATTTTTTTTTTCTCACATGGGTTTCAAATTAGATTACTTCTTAGTATTCTAATTTCAAGCCCATGAGAGTTTGGAATCCCAAATAATAGTTTCAAGCCCGGAATTGAAATCATGGCATTGGAAGCCTTTTGGCATTGGGCCAATGCCAATGATATCTTATTTTTGGACAGCCGAACACCGGATTTGGCATTGGGGGCCCAAATTCCAAATTCAACCCTCCAATGCCATGCAAACGAACACACCCTAAACATAATTGAGATCGATATACGGTTGTTGCCGAGGAATTGGTATTGTTGCATCTAGCGAAGTTGGCTTTAAAGATGGTCGTGACTGTCTTCAAGTAAACATCAACCACTGATATGTTAGACATAATAAAAATTGAATATATGTATTCTTTCATATTTTTCTTTTTTCTCAGTAATTATAAATAATGGACACTTTGGGGAAAAATCGGCAGATTTACCCAAAATTTTACATGTTTCATCAATTTTACCCTATTCTTTTACCTTAAACTATCCAACCGTTAGCCGATTTTGTCCAATTTTTTATTTTCCGTCTAAATTAATGAAATTCTATTTGTTTTAATTATAAAAATATCCTAATAGTTTTAAAAATTTACAAAAATGACCTGAAAATTTACAAAAATTATAAAATAGTCTATTTTAAGTTTTTATTTAAAATATTCTGTTTTTTATTTCTTTTTACTATTTTTCATAACAATAAAAGTACACTATATGATCTTTTAAAAAATATTTATTTTTAAACTTTAATGTACAAATTTTTAATTACATATTTGTATGCCATGTTTGATTTACATAAGCATATTAATTTTTTAATAATATGGTTTTACAATAATGATACTATTTTTTAATCTATTTTTTTCAATTTAAAGAATAAGATTATTTAACTAATACTAATTTTTCACAAAAAAATTAAACAATTCACATAGATTAAAAAGGAGTCTATTGGTATACTTTAATGCATTACAATTTAATTCAACTGACTTTAGATTATATTTTAAAATTTAAAAAGAAATCAAAACTAAAATATAAATTTTTTTTAAAAGGCCAAGTACAGACAGAAAGTAAAAAAAAAACACCTGTTTAGTTTCTACGTTGGCCCAACTCAAGAATATAGTGTCGTGGCATTTACAAAAATGGTACAAAATATTTTATAAAAAATATGTACATTTATTACTGCGAGGGTTTAACATTTTATGATAATGTTTTGAGAATTGATATAGCTAACTTTAGCAGGAAGTCTTTTTTAAAAAAAAATAATAAAAAAAAATCTACTCCAATACTGGACTCCACCTTTTTTTAACATTAAAAAAAAATTAGATTTCTCTAGTGAGAATCGAACCTCGAACATAGTTTTAATCATTTCATATCTTAAATCACCTAACCATCCAAGCAACCCTCTTACCTTTAGTGGATGCCGCTTAAACGTGGGTAAAATCACTCTCCCGGTTAGAAATACTTTGATGACAATTAATCTTCTATCTACTCTCATGAAACTTAACACCCTAAACACTAGACACTACCCTATATTTTAATTTAATAATTTTTTTAATTGGATAGTACAATCTATTGTCTGTTTAGTTAATTGCAATAAATTAAAATGTACTAATGTATATTTTTTTAATCTATGCTAACTGTTTTTATTTTTTGTAAAAAATGAGTTTTAGTCAAAAAAATCTTATTTTTTAAATTGTAAAAGACGGATTAAAAGAATAATATCATTATTGTCTAGCCAAATTATTAAAAAAATTAATATGTTTATGTAAATCAATCATGAGTTATACAAAATGTATATCTATAAATTTGTACTGTAGTGTTTAAAAATAAATTATTTATTTAAAAGATCATATAGTATATTTTTATGGTTATGAAAAATAGTAAAAAAAAGTAAAAGAAAAAAAGAAAAATTTAAATAAAAACTGAAAAGAGACTATTTTGTAATTTTTGTAAATTTTTAAGGGTTTTTTTTTTATAAATTTTTAAAATTATTAGGGTATTTTTGTAATTAAAACAAATAGAATTCCGTTAATTTAGACGGAAAATAGCAAATTGGACAAAATCGGCTAACGGTAGGATAGTTTAAGGTAATATTGGCTAATCGAAAAAGAATAGGGTAGAATTGACGATACATGTAAAACTTTAGGTAGATCTGCCAATTTTTCCAACACTTTGGTTATTAAGTTTTAGAAATTGATTAAAGTATTTATGTTAAAATCCATGTCGCTAGCAATGCCAAATGGTAAGATATCATTTTGTTTGAATTTTTGCTTATAGCTTAGTCTTCTTTTCTTTTCTTTTTTTTTTTTTGTTAGATTATGGGAGTTTCCTGATTTTTTTTTTATTTTCCCTAAAAAAATGTGTAGTCTGCATTAATATGTTTTTTTTTTCTTTTTTTTTTTTGGAGAAAAATGAGCATCGTCCTTTCGGGCCAAAATAGGTCATTGTAATTCTTTTGAAGGTTGTTTGAGTGAAAGTGCCCTCCAATATCAGAGTGATGATGATAAATATCTAGCCCGAGCATTCGTACGTCCCTTTTTGATGATTTTTACATGTGGAGACTTTCATTTAAACTATTTTTTGTAATCTCTATTTTAAAGATGGGAATACCATGGAAAACTTACAACGCTTTTATATGCACATAAAATATTCAATACATGATTTGTTTTTATTTTTTAAATTTAACGAATTTATAATACAAACGACCCCGGACAAGCATCTAGTTAATGATTAAACTTATTTCATTAAGTACTTATTTGATTAAGCATGTTTGATAAGATGACATCTTAATAATGAAGTAGTGCTGAAAGTGAATTACAAAATATAAGCAATAAACTAATTAGTACTTATTCCACGACTGCTTAATGAATTCAGACTTTCTAATATACAGTTAAATATTTATAAATTAATACTCTTAGTACTCCAAAATATTATTAATTTATTGATGTATTAATTTATCGATTAATTAATAATTAATAATTATTAATTAATTAATAATTATTAATTTATTGATAAGTTAATAATTATTAATTTATCGACAAACTAATAATATTAATTTAAAAAAAATCTCAAAGAATCCTATTAATCTTTTAAGCCTAGTCGTATAAGATTTATATTCCTTTATATTCCTTTATTCCCTTATATCCCCGCGCATTAGAATTTAGATTTCATCACCTTAAAATTTTCACCTCCCAAATTTTTGTAACATGCCTCTATTAAAAGAAATTTGACTTTTTTCTAGAAAATTTTTTAAACTCTCATCAATGGCTGGATACATCATGCAAAAAATTCATAACATCTACAATTTCTTTAGATATAAATTTCAAGAAAAAACAAACATCACTATATTCACATTTTACTAGCTCATTTTTTTTTTATTTCAAGTCATTATATATTTATGATATTCACGAGACCTATATTTATATATGAATTCTTTGAAAAATTATTATCTTATTATTTTATCGATTGTCTTTATTTTTTGTACTAGTCCTGACTTGGGAGCGGAAAAAATTATTAATTTATCGATGTTATTAATTTATTGGTTATTAATTTATCGATGTTCTACTGCAGTACTATTTAGTATTCAGAATTAAACATTAATTTTTATCAAACATGCCTATGACTATTTTTGTTACTAGTTTATTATTCTGAATATAGTCGTAATAGTATATGTTTTGACTTTTAAATTCAGACGTGGACCGCATGTCCCTTTCCTAATCGTGTTCAATTTTCAAACATGTATTTTTGAAACCTTCAACCATATCTACAATTTGTATTCAAGAATTCTCAACTCCGATCACAATTCACAACGGCGGCGAGTTTCCAATCCGAATTAAATTCCCACGAAAATAAACACGCACACACACACTAGAACCGCTCAGCAAGGCGCACAATTTTTTCATGTAGGATGGAGCCACCACCTCCTCCGTACTACCACCACCACCACCACAACAGGTACGTCCCTCCTCTTTCTGAAAACCCTAATTTTTACAATCCCCACCCCCGCAACCGCCTTCCTCCGCCACCTCCATCAGCACCACCGCAGCCTCTCCCACCACCACCGCCACAACTGCCGCATCATCACCTCTCTCATCCTCCCCTTCCCCCACCTCCGGCTCCCCCTCCCCCTGTCCCCAGCCAATCTCAGTTCTCCTACCGCCCTCACCACTATACAATTCAAGATAGATTAGGCCCCCGGCCGTCACCTCCTCAATTTCCCGGCCAATACTCCTCTACTTTTATCCCACACCATCCTCATCCCCCTTCTCCTCCTAGAGATCACGGTCTTCAAAACCGTCACCGAAGCTTATCCTTTCACGAGGAGAGTTCTCACTTTGTTGACCGATGGTCGGATTCGATTCCGAGTTCTCGGGTTTCCACAGAGCCGCCTTTCCATCACCAGCAGCGGCGACCTCTTTCCCCGATTCCCCCGCCTCAGATTGATAATTATATCAATGATTATGACCGTGATTTTAGATTTAGGGACCAGGGCTTTAGGGATAATGGGAATCGAGAAAATCCCCGTTGGGGTGGCAGAGAAGATAGAAGATTAGACGTTCCTGATTATGTTGATAACGATAAATATAGGTATGGTAGTTTTCATAATGATTATGAAAGGAATATTAGTCCTGGATTCGAAAGGGATGTTCGTAGATTGAATAGAAATGTTTCAACTGCTGGTGATTCTCGAGTCATTGATATGGTGTTGAGCCCCCCACCTAGGGATTTTGCTTTAGATGGGAGAAGTTATGAGTCCTATTCTGGTAGGGAAGAAGATTTTAGACAAAGTTATTCTCCCTTCAGGAAGGGCCATGAATACCTTGATGGTGATGTGGCTTCATCATCCTCCCATGGCCTTCGGGAATCAGTGGATAGTGGTTATGATGATGGGGATAGGCTAAACAGTAAAATGGCAGGTCACACAGTTCGAGGGTTCTTCAATAGGTCTCCAAGGAATACACAAGTGCAGAAGAAAAGTGCGTTGCTTAGGCTTCAGGAAGGAAGAGCTAATAACAAAAACACCTATAGGAATAGAAATCATGATAGCAGTCGTTACTCTAGAGATCATTACAATGAGTCAAACTCGAGCGTCAGTGGTAGCTTTAGGGGGAAGAAAAAGGATGATTTTGTGAATCATGAGGGAGAAGTAGGCGTGGATAGGGAGAAAAGTCCTGTGGAGCTTGATGTTACATTTAAATCAAATTCACTTGTTGCCAAAGCTGTAAAGGCCCCCTCAAGCTCAGTGCGTGAGTTAGAGCTCAAGAAAAGTGGTTTGGCTGATTCCTCAAGAATCAAATTGAACGATCATCCTATTAAAGCTTCTGGTTATAGTCGTCCATCATCTTCTTCTGATAAATTTCATGGGAAATTGAAATCAAAGATTGTTTCTTCCAAGATTGATACTTCTACCGGTGGTTCGGATCACCCCCCTAGATCCTACCAGAATGGAAAGAGTTCTGACAAGAAGGTTATTTATGGTAAAGCTGACAACAACACGAACCGACATGATTCTCTTTTGGGTATCAACAAAGAAATGGGTATGTTGCTTGGTAAAACGTCCTCATCTGACAACAGGGCAGATATCGTGGGTGAAAGCAATGTAGGTGAGGATCCTGTGAGAAGTGTTGATTCCAATCAGTGTGTCAAACGCTCCGCTCCTGATGGAGTACTGCAAAAAGCCAAAAAGAGGCAATCAGTTGGAAAACTTCTTCAAAATAATGCATCTTTGCAGTCTGTTGATGGTAATAGTGAACTTAGTGATCCAGATAATTCTTCCACTGGAGGCCTCTCTGCAAATCCTCTGGTGGAGGACGGTGCCACACATTCAAAAGAAGGGGTTTCTTTACCTGAGGTTGATGTATTTAATGGTGTCATTTCGTCCTCTTGTGGTAATGAGATTGTTGTTAAGGGAGGGAACAATGGTGCAGAAAAAGATGTAAAGGAAAATCATATCACTATCTCCTCTGGTTTGCCAGTTCCGCCTGAATGTTCTGCATTGAATGTGGACAATATAGCACCAAATAGGGGGCCTGTTCATCTCGAAAAGTTGGCTATGAAAGAATGTCCCAGTTCGATTTCAGATGGAAGTCTGGTCGAATCACGTAATTTATCTGAAGTGCTGGTTGAGTCGAAAAATGCAAGTCACATTGTTGATGATAATAGCTGTAGTCCTCGCCTAGAAGATCAGTTGTTGGCTAAGACTAGCCTCTCCTGTGGGATTTCAGCTGGTAGTGATGTTGGGCTATCAAGCTTGAAGGATAACTTTGTTAATGATTGTCACATTGACAATTCGAATTCAGACCACAATACTTGTGATGTTTCAAATCTTAATGAAGGTTTTTGTCAAACTTCTGAAAGTATTACGGCTGTGGATATGGATTCTGCCAATGCTGGACCAGAGAATGTTGCTGTTAATGTTCCCTATGAAAATGAGATTGTTAAAGGTTCTGCGGATACACATCTCTCAGTTAGTTTGGTTGCTAGTCTTGCTTCACCAAACTTGGAAAAAGCATTGGTTCAAAAAGTTTCTGGAAATGAAGAATTATCCAATGATTCCCCTGCATACTGTTCTACTGATTTTGCAAATTCATTGGAGAATAGAACTTCATCTGAGTTAGGTTTGTTCAATCACAATAGTAAGCTGTCAATCTTTGATGGTGAGGCAACCTCATCTGGGAATGCTTCTGGTGAAAGATCTCCAGCATCAAATATCAGTAATTCACCAGTAGTTGGGGAAAAGAGGAAAGTTACCGATGGTCAACTGGATACGCATGTTATGAAGGCAAGTAAACTAGCTGGGCCCATAGTTAGTTTTGTGGATGCTCGAGATGGAAGCTCAATACCTCAGACAGATAATCTTGTTTCTTTCGGAACCGAAATCGTTCGCAACAATAGGGAGAATCTTCCGGACAAATTATTTTTCGAAGGAGGGCTTTCCATATCTAATAATCTGGTTAAAGGAAGTGAAACTCATGTGGTTTCTGAATTTGATTCGCTCTTGGCTAGTACATCCAACCAGTATGCTGAACCTTCTTTGAATATCGGAGAAGGTAGAACTCAAACAACAGATGGAATTGTTGATTCTTGCGGAGATCAGACCATTCTTCTTGGTACATCTCAGTCATCAGCCCTCCTTTCCCGCGAGATTAGCATTGTTGAGGGTTCACATTATAGTGACACGAGTAGGTGCGGCTTAAAACTTGACCATGAAACTTCCTATCAACTAAATGAGGAAGCTGATGTAAAGGATAAGACTTCTGTTGTTTCTTCCTCTTCTGATCTTGAATTGATAAATAGTTTGCTTGCTGAAGGTTGTCAAAGAAATTTTGGGCCTGATTCTGAGAAGCAATTTACTGGAGATACTGAGAGTAGGGATTCTTTGCTTCTTGTTGGAAGTTCGGCTGCTTCAACTGACACACCCTCATGTGCTACCAGTTCCACTGATAGACAGGTTGATTTTCTTCCTGATACATTTCCCAATATGGGTTCTCCCGAAGATGTATCGAATTTCGGCCCAGACATGGTTGATAACTTGTTGAGTAGGAACCAAGAGTCCCATAGTTATAAAGGGAATGACAATATTTACACTAATTCTACAGTTGTGGAGGATGCAACATCTTTATCTGTGAAACAATTTGGAGATAGTCCTAAAGTTGGTACAAAACCAGGTGATGAAGTTTCCCCAGATCCAGTTTCTGAAAGCAAGGCTAACTCATCCTTAAATTTGGAACCCCAAAATGCAAACCGGAACTCATATTCCTCTTTGAAAAAATCAAATGTGATCCATAATAGTTTGAATCCTTCTAATATTAAGGCTGTTCCGGGTCAAATGTCTACCAAGTACTCCTCGACACTGAAAGTGGCTCCTTTGAGCCATGTTGGTAAACCACGGACATGGCATCGACATCTTAATGCCTCATCTTCTGTTTTGGAGTTCAAGTCACAGAAAAACTATGTTCATTCGCAGATCAACTCCAAAAAAGATGTCAGTATGGTTCAAAATTCTTATGTTCGGCGGGGTAATAGTCTTGTAAGGAAATCGCCTCAAGTTGGTACAGTTCCCCACGTATTTCCTCCTCGACCTTCTGTTTACCACTTAAATTCTGCTAGTAATAATGGGAAGAAGGACGGAGGATTGGATATTGATATGGTTAAACTACCAACATCTGCACCCTTGGGTGGTCCAAATATCTGTTCTGAGAGACTCAACCCTGCCCCTGTAATTGGTGCCATAAAGTCATCGAGCTGCCCAAGTTCCAAGCCAGTAGATTTAGCTATTTTGTCGTTGCCAGCTCCAAAAAATGGTTCTCCTGGTGAATCAAGTGATCTTATCAAATCTGCACAGAACATGGATGCCAAGTGGTCTTCAGAGGAGGATAAAAAATCTTCTGAAGCTGATGGATGTGAAACTAGTAGTAGCAACTACTTGGATTGCCAGAGTGCTGGAGATGATGGAAAATCTGGAAAGAAGATGCTATATTTAAAGATAAAGTCAAACCAGTTGGTTGCAGCTTCCAGTACGAAAGATGTTCCTCGCGTGGGTGCAGAGTCGTCCCAAGCATTATCATCTGATGGTTATTTTAAGCGTAGGAAAAACCAACTTATCAGGACATCTCCCAATGAAAATGTTGAACAAAAGGCTGTTATTTGTGATAAGAGCTTGAGCTCACAGCAGCAGGGTTCTCCGAACAGTTTTGAAGTCAGAGGCTCATGTATTAGACAGTCTGGTAAAACCCCCTTCCAACTCATTTTCTCCATTGTCTTTTATGTTAATTATACATCAATGTATGTATTTAGACGTTTGCCTCTTCCAAGTATGCTAAACTATATAAACATTCTCTTCTTAGATGCACATCAATGTAGTTTATAAGCTTGTTGACTAACCTGGTGGTTACAGATCTTTTAACCTTTGTGTCACCTTAAGAATATTACAAAAATAATCAGAAACATGCCCTTGTGTGCTCCTCCTCAATATCATTTTTGTGTGCTAAAGTTAAGGTAGTGGTGGGAGTGAATATGGGAGCCGGTAATTCGCATGGCATGCTGTTTTTTTGGTTGGTTTTGCTATTTTCGAAGTCTGCATAAAAATATTCTTTAGTGACACTGAACTTCTATCTGTTTCAATGCCAATTAATTTGTAAAGGATAAGGTAAACTAACAGTTGCTTTTGCTAATAATTTTATTATTTTATTGGTGTGGATTCCCAAAGGTAAACTGATGTTAACAGTTGCAGGTTCTACAAAGAGAAAGTTTTCATTAGTGTGGACTCTAAATGGTACTCTGTCATCAAAAAAGGATGCTAGTTTTGGAAGATGGAATCAAGTGCGCCCATATTTGTTTCCATGGAAAAGATCTTCTACCTGGATGAATTGCATGAACTTCTCAAGTTCTTTTTCAAATGACAGTCTTGCAATTTGGTATAGATCGCTTCGGTGTTAGCTGTTTCATTTTATGTTCTGTTGGTGTAGATCGCTTCTTTACTCTTGTAATTGATATTATGAACATAATGTTATGTTCCTGCAGCCAGAAACTGCGGCTTTTACGAAAGAGGGAAGCAATCTATAAAAGATCAGTTAGTGGATTTTCATTACGCCGATCCAAGGTACTTGGTGTTGGTGGCCGCAACTTGAAGTGGTCGAAATCCATTGAGAAGGACTCAAGAAAAGCAAATACGGTTTGTTCAGCTGGATTTTTGTACCCCTATATTTTGAGTTTGACGTGAGTCGTATGAAGATATATTTCTTGATGTCTTTGTTTTTCATTTTCTTTTTTCCCCAGGAAGCTACTCTAGCTGTTGCTGCTGCAGAACAGCGGAAGAAAGCCCAAAATCTGGCTCCTTTTACTCTTTTTAAGAGTAGAAATCATGTTTCTCGTAAGTCAGGTCTTAGTATTAATCTGCACCCAGGTAGGCCAATTAGTTTTCCTGGTGCAGCGAGTCTTAATTGTTTTTTTTTTTTTTTCATGTGCAATCTGTGGGAATTTGGATAAAGGATGTTTGAATTTTACTTGCAGTGCCTGTATTTCAAGTTTGTGTCTGATCACTATGCTTTGTTGAGAATATTGAGATTGTTTTTGTGTGTATCCCTTGCAGGAGATCGCATATTCCGAATTGGTTCAGAAAGATACAAAATGGATCCAACGAGGAGAACATTACAGAGGATATCAGGTGCTCTCTTATTCGTTGTATTTTAAATCATGTATCTCTACACATCTTCTGTTATGAATACTGAACCAACCTTCTGGTGGGGTTCCTATTTTGCCTTCCCTTGATTTTATTTTCGAATTAATATGGGAGGAAGAAGTATAGTTTGTTGTGGGATGGGGTGGGGTGGGGTTTCCGGTAACATTCGGTGATGTTTGAATGTCCATGGGTTAGAGGTTAGGTAACTAAACCTGGGTTCAAAAAACCCCTCTGGAGATTTGGAGACCTTCACAGTTAACTTCCCATTGATGTGGTGGCGGATCTTTGGTTGCGATCCAGGCTAAATGTCACCTCAACTGTTATTTAGGCAGCTGATGGGGCAAGGAGTACTTATTTGCTTTCAATGAATGCTTATCTGTGTAAATAATGGTTGTGCCTGCTTTAGAATAAAGACAAAATTCTTCTACTTGGCAAGTTCTCTGCTTGACTGACCAATATGCTCCAACCCTTTTTTGTGTGTTTTTTGTGTTATCGTTATTACTAAAAGGATGAAAAACTTATTGCGCAGATGAACCAAATTCCTTCCCTGGTGATCAATCTGAAAAGAAGAAAAGGAAATTTTATGTTCCTAGAAGATTGCTGATTGGGAATGATGAGTAAGTTTGACAATTAGCTGCTGTTGTATGCTGACAGTTTCTAATGGACTTGAATTTTGATGTAGTGCATGTGGATTTTATCTTTTAGAAGTAAAAGAAGTTCTCATGGATATTTGGGAAGTCACTGTGAAAATTTGATTGTTGATTTTTAACCAGATAGTTCCCATCAGGATTTAAGTGGCAGGGTTTTGACGATATTCTTATGTACTATGTAGATATGTTCAAATTGGCAATGGGAATCAATTGGTCAGAGATCCAAAAAGAAGAACCCGTATATTGGCAAGTGAGAAAGTTCGTTGGAGCTTGCACACTGCCAGGTTACGGCTGGCTAGAAAGAAGCAGTATTGTCAGTTCTTTACACGGTTTGGCAAATGTAAACAGGACGATAAGAAATGTCCTTACATTCACGACCCTTCTAAAATTGCTGTCTGCACTAAATTTTTGAATGGCTGTTGCACTGATCCTAGTTGCAAATTGACTCATAAGGTATATTCAAATTTCCTTTTGGAGATATGTCCTTATTTAACTTTCTATTTGCTGTTTCCACTGGCATATTATATTGATTATGTGTGTAGGTCATTCCTGAAAGGATGCAAGATTGTTCTTATTTTCTGCAAGGTGCGTGGTTTTATTTTCCTGAGTTGACAAAACAGTGTTGCAAAGCTCTAACTCATTTTCTCGACAGGGTTGTGCTCTAATGGAAATTGCCCTTATAGACATGTTAATGTGAACCCGAAGTCCTCTGTTTGTGATGGTTTTCTAAGGGGATATTGTGCTGATGGCGATGAGGTATTTCGGCTATGGTTCTCAACCTTGTTAACTTGCTAGTGAAGCTTCTGTTTTGAACTTGTTTTCTTATGATTATTTTCTGCATGCTACAAATTGCACAGTTCGGCCTCGCTTCTTTTACAGGCCTAACCGATTGGGGATAAAAATTTCATTGTTTTTCTCATGCTGCCGCTTTGATCACTTTTTTCTTTATTGTTTTTTGGGAGAATCTTCTGGTTCCTTACGTTATAACCTTTTTGTTTTCCGTTCTTGTTAAACCATATTTTGTTGTTATCACTAACATTAGACATATGGATGATAAATCGACAAGATTTTCATCTCTCTCACTGTCACACATACACATAAGCATTCATATTACACTCGTGACATGCATCTGCACAAAGAACACACAATAGGCAAGCGGCTAGCCCACTGACCTTCAACATTGGGAAATGGATTATAAATTCCTTTTTGCAGTGCCGGAAGAAGCACACCTATGTCTGCCCTGTGTTTGAAGCCACTGGCAGTTGTCCACAAGTTCCTAAATGCAAGCTTCATCACCCCATAAAGAGAAAGAAGGGAATGAAAAAGAAACCGTCAGACCTGCAGAAGAATGCTCGAGGACGCTACTTTGGATCTGCACATGTTGATGTTGCTGACTACAGAACAATGGTTTGTGTGGTTACTGGAAATGACAATGACAGCATTTTGAATGAGGGAACATTTGGCGATTACATTAGTTTAGATTTTAGGATTGAAGAAATGGAACCAGCTTTTGAGCCAAGAAGCGAGCCAGTTAGTGATGGTGAAGGAGCTTCAGATGTGGAAATGGCTGAAGTTGAGGAACTGATGAAACCTCTCCGTATCATGAATACAAACTTCAGTGTCGATTCATCCGGAAAAGTTGATAGTTCTTGTGAGATGTCCTTAGGATAGAAGAATCAGTCTCATTTTTTGGTAGAAGATGAGTTTAGGGACACCTTTTCTGCTATTGCAGAATGGTGTGATTAGGGCTTTCTTCTTCTTCTTCTTCTTCTTCTTCTTCTTCTTCTTCTTCTTCTTCTTCATTTTCTCCCAGTAAATTGTACTGATGTATAGATGTATACTAAATGTAGGATTATGTATATGTTGTATGTTAGCGAAACTATATAGAAACAAATCCAGCAATGAAATATCTTTTCATTCCTTTACTTAGCATATCACTCTTTGATCAAACTCAATTTTCACCCCAATGTATTAGTAAACCTCTACATTTTATTCGTATTTCACAAGAAAAGAAATGTGCTCTGAAAAAAAGGACAAACTTCACCAAGTACCAAAATGCCTAATTAAAATGTTGGCATATCTTTATCACAGGTTAATTTCTATTTTTCTTCTTATTATTTATTTTTTTGAAAAAAAAAAAGAGAAAAAAGAAAACCTATAGCAAGTGGACAAGAAATTCTCGTCCATACAGATAACAGCTCTGGGGATAAAAAAAAGCTGCCATGAGGTTGTAAGAGTTCAACTTTCCAAGGTTTTATTTGATTGGAAAAGAGCTCTGAAATTTTTAAAATTACGGCAGCCATGGCAGCAGGTCTAAATGCATCTTACATGGCCTCAACAAACTTCTCAATGGTGAACTTCAGTGGAGAAAGCACGAGGAAGGCACTACTTATGCATCGAAAACCCTTTACAGTTTCAGCTCAACAAGCTGATACTCAAGATTATAGCTTGAAAGTTGAAGAGAAAGAGGAGGAAACAGTGCAAAAAGAAGAAGAGAAGCAACCAAAAGTGATGAAGAGTCCAAGACCAGTTGAGCCTCAAACCAATGTGAAGAGCAAGAACATGGGGATTGAATTTGGCAGTGAATGGCTGAGCTCAACAACAAGGCATGTTAGGATTTATGCAGCGTATATCGACCCGGAGACGTGTGCGTTTGATCAAACACAGACGGATAAACTCACTCTCATACTTGATCCCACTGATGAGTTTGTTTGGACTGAGGAGACTTGCAATCAAGTCTACTCTTATTTCCAAGAGCTTATTGATCATTATGAGGTACAAATGCTGCTTTTCTGTGCATTTTTTGGCATCATATTACTGTTTTAGAGAACATGATTGTGACTGCAGAAATGAGAACTTTAAAAAAAAAAATGTCAATGGCAAGAACATAATTCGAATATTAACCGAAATGTGACTGTTGCAGGGAGCTGACCTGACAGAATACACACTTCGTTTGATTGGTTCCGACATTGAACACTATATAAGGAAGATGCTGTACAGAGGAGAGATACAGTATAATATGAATGCAAGGGTTTTGAACTTTAGCATGGGAAAGCCAAGAGTTGGTTTTGCTTACAATGATGATCAGATTCCAGAAGAATACTTGTAAACTGTGAATAGTAAGTCATACACCCTAGATTTAACGACCATAATGTCAATGCATCCATAACGCAAATCATTATATGTTTCCTTTTGTCCTATTCCTACCTCCTTTGCAAGCTCCCACTAATCGGTTTACAGGAATGGACCGAATGGTTCACTGATATACAAAATAAGCGTAGCCTAGAGGGTTAGTCTTTGCACAATAGAACTGCTGCTACTAATAAGTCCAAGCCAGTACCAGGGTGAGGGAATGATTTCTATAAAGCAGCCACCTAAACAGGGTAAGCTTTACTAGCTTCACAATAGCGTAAAATGTGACTGCAATTATCTCCTAAAGTTGTTACCTGATCCACAAAACCAGAAGCAGCTGAATAGAATGCAGATAATTTCTACTGATTCACATGGCACAGCAAAACACGCTTTATCTAGCCAAGGACATACTCCAACCAGGGTCAGATTCTGTTAATGCAGAAAACCAAAAGAATTGTATCAGTAAATGCCATTGTAGTAGGTAAAGTAAACGAATACGCAGGGTTTAGCATATGCCAGCAATCTTTTTGCAAAATGCAAAGAGTAATCATCACTAGAAAAAGCCTATCACAGGTTCTGTTAACAAATTAGTTGAATCTAAATGTTACACGGGCTAATTTGTTCTGCCTAGTCATGACGCGTTGAAATCAGATCAGGGAGACAATCAATTCATTTTACAACCTCGAAGTCCTCACTCCAAGCCAAAAAAAACTCTTATCAGTGCTCCAGATACTGCAAATCTTTATCTAGGAGACTATACTTACCTATCTGTGAGTGGAATTCCCTACACCCAAGTTGGAGAATCTATTTTATCCATATGAAACTTGAAAATTTGAAGCTTATTTGGAAAAAGCGAATCCCAACAACTACAGGTGGCTATTTTCTTAGAGAACTCTGAATATCATACAAACCACATTGAAGGAGAAGGAATACTGTCAATAAAGTTCTTCTAGAATAGTTTTTCCCCCAACCTGAACAAAGGCTAAAAACAGAGATTAGAAGGAAGTATAATCTCTGAACCTCATTTTATGCATCTAGGGGCTCAAGAAAGACATCCAAGCATTTAGGCTTTCAAACCTCGAAGCCCCAAGATGAATTCTGACCTCGCTAATGGTGTAAAACCATTGAGTCCTAGATATAGATTCTATCTTTATCTGTGTTCCACAAAATTTTTACCAGTACCACCCAACCTTAAAAGTTTTGTGCATATGAAAATGAACTGAGTCTATGAATACTGCTTCATATCAAATGAGTCTTCATCATTTTTACAAACATCATGTATAATGGAAGGAAAAGTAATGAAGGAAAATGGTCTAAAACCTTTGTAAGGAAATGCGAACTTGACCAATGTACCAAAATCTTTGGACATTAAAATGTATTTAACTGGAAAAGGAAAGGAACTTGTACTTCTTGACCTAATTGTGCACATTGGAATATTTAGGATACTAAATATGTAGTTAACTAGGAAAGAAAAGACTTGGACTTCTCTATCTGTCCACATTGAAATTTTAGATTGGGATAAATAACACGGCACAGGCTGATACCCAAGTAACAATGCAAAACGAATATGGATCGATTTCAAAAACTTTCTATTTTATCATTTCGTAGAAGTTAATTCCGGTGGATTAAGGATTAGGAAGCAAGCAGACTGCTGATTTTCGTAAGAATTGGCAAATGCAACTCACGCCCTATATCTAACAATCTGCTTTTAGCAGTATCATTCCCAGAAACCGTTCAAATGAAACTAAAGGATCATATGCAAGTGAATTTCAAAACTGATAAACAAAAGATACAAGGGAGCAATCTCTTTCCTGTAACCAGAAGAAAAAACCATGTACTAGGTCAATTCTTAGCGGCAATCAGCTGCTGCTTCATGCTTCATTCTAAGATCTGCAAAGATGGGTCACTGATTTTCCTAAAATCAACAAAGGGAAGACGAGGTTGCTACATCTTTAAGATTTATTCATTTCAGCCAAATTTACGAAAGCATGCAAGTAAATCTAAATAAAAAATAAAGAACAATATCTAGTACTGCAAAGCCAAAGCACCTAACCAAAGGAAAGTTTATCTTACTACTACATGATGCTCCTTATTTATTTGTAACTAATCAACAGAAAGAGGTCATGGGAGATGCAGCAACTAATCAAAACTATGCATGAGGATAAGATATAAGAAATAGAACATAAAATTTCACAGCTAAAATGCTACAAAAGACATTTCCCAAAAAAAAAAAAAAAAAAAAGCACAAAAAAAAAAGAAAAAAAACAGAAAAACAATTTTCAACTTATAAAGATGAACATAATAAATGCCAAATAGAACCCACAGACCTGGAAGAAACTCAAATTACCAGATAGAGATCAAGGTTTGACTTTGTCTTAGTTTCAACGAACTGGTTTTGATTGGTTTGGCAGCTTTCTTTTCACACGCAAGCTGTTGGAGCTCCTTCTCATCATATGGCTTTCTTTAAATCTTCATCACCTTTTCTCTAAATGGAGAATTTCCTTCTCCACTGCTAAGGCAGATACACAGGCACCATCTCCGTGGCTGCAAAGAGTTTATTTTGCAGCGATTTTAAGGTTTAAAGATTTTGGATTACATACATAATCCAAAGCAAAGCTGGTAAACAGTAAACACAGACCACACTTTACATAATCTTGATATCCATATATGAATTGGAAATCAAAGTTGACAAGACAAAAGATTTGTCATTTCCTTCAAGATCCTAGATACAGAAACCTTCCACTAACATCTCATTCATGCCGAGTTTATGAAACCCTACAACTATCTTTTCTTTCAGAATTACTAAATATGGCTCTCAGATTCAATTTTCAACTCTATTCACCCTATTTGTAATCCCTCCTCCCATTCTCTACAGTATAGCCTCCAGAACTTATCAAACACAGTAAGTGGTAAATGATAATAATAATAATAATAGGATGCATCACGAACCCAGTACCAAACAATTCAACACGATCATGAACAGAACAGAATGATTGGTTACAAGACATGCAGCCCTGAAAAATTGAAGGAGAAAGAGCTTAAAAAAGGAACTGATAATAACCTGAGAAGGGTGAAGTAGGCGTAGTGGAAAACCCATGAAATTTCCCGTGAGCAGGAGGCGATTGATGGCGGTTTTGGTTTTCAGATAGGGGATTTGAATCACTGCCATGGCCTGCTTCATTATCAAATGGGTCTAAAATATTTGAGAAGCGATGCATAATTATGTTTAGTGCTGAATGTTTACAAAATGTAATGTATCGAGTCCAATTAACGAAAATTAAACACCACTCTATAAATAGTACGTGGTTTAGGTGATCTTGAAATTTTCAATTTTCAAGTGTCAAGTCTTGTGTTGTTGCATTCATACCTATGAAGTCATTCTTATGTTGTTGCACTCCATACATTTGACAGAATCCTTTTTGTGTAGCTCAAAGTTTATTTAAGTAGATTGGTTCCTTCAAAGATTATTTTATCCCTCACCTAAACCTAAAGTCTAAAACAGATTGGTTCAGAGTATACAGCAATACACAAGATCCCCGAGAGACGAGAGTTACAGTAAAATATGAATGCAAAGGTCCTGAATTTCAGCATGGAAAAACCAAGAGCCGCTTTCGCTTACAACGGCGGTCAGATAACGAAAACTTGTAAGCTACTGCATATTAAGGTCTACGGTAAAAGCAAACAATGTCAGATATAACGACCAGATTGTCAATTCATTCATATTCGCATCATTTAACCCAATAGAAACATGTTTCTCTGTCCTATTCCTTACCTTCATCGGCAATATCTCACCATGACCAAGGTTTTACAGGTACGGTCTAAGAACTACAAACTATATGCCACTTAGATGATTAGTCTTCACAAGTTGCAACTGCTAACAAGTCTTTACGAAGTGATAGTTGGAGGGTGAGAAGTTGTTCGAAAACGCAGCCATGTGAACAAGGTGGCTGGTGTACCTAGCTTCCAAATATTGCAAGATGTGGCTAAGAGATAACTACTTCCTAAATTGTTACATAATCCACAAGACCAAAAGCAACAAGTCTGACTGCCAACAACTTCTAGCAATCTTCCGGCTGCACAGCAAGACAAGACTTATCTTGCCAAGGCCTGAACGCTCCTGGCTGGGTCAGATTCTGTTAGTTCAGAAAACCAAAAGATTAATCAGTAAAAGCCACTGAAGGTAGACAAAAATAAATGAATAGGAAGGGATCATCATATACCAAGGATCTTCATGCAAAATGAAGTGACAACAGATTCTGCTAACATGACATAGATTTCTTAAACAGACATGGATTTCTTAATCTATCTGGGCACATTCAGATTTTAGACTGGAAAAAATTACACAACCCAGACTTATACACAAGAATCCCCAGAGAAGTTATACTCGAAAAGGTTTCTATTAAAAGCTTCAAACAGGAGTTTGTACTAAAAATGCAACAAATGAAAACAATATCCAAAGTTCACCTCAGTAATAGATTACAAATAAGAAAACCCAGAACGGACTTGCCATCTTCGTGAGAACTGTCAAATGCAAGTCATTTACCCAAATTTACAATCTTTTCTTAGCAGTACTATTCCCAGAAACCATGCATCAAATTGGCAACTTATAGTTGGAAAAGTATGGATGAACAAATCATGTTTAACATTAAATGAAATTAAAGGATAAATACGTAGGGAAATTCCAAAACGGACGAGGAGCAATTCTTTCCTGTAACCAGAAGAAAAAGCCACGTAACAAGGTCAACTCTTTGTGGAAATCAGCTGCTTCAAGCTTCCTTTTAAGATCTGCAAAGATGATACATTGAACACAGATTGCTCCCAAAATTAACACAGGGAAGAGGAAGGCAGGAAGTTGCTACATTTCTAATAGTTGTTCATTTCAGACAAATTAGCAGAAGCATATAAGTAAATCAACACAAAAGAACAACAATCAACTAGTGCAATAATGAAATTCATGCAAGCATCGAACTCATCCAGCTGTAATAATGAGTTCAATTTCCAACAGCATAACAATGATTTATCAGGCACAAGTCTGCATGACAATCTCACATGACTTAGCAAACAGATTCACGTTCAAAAATGAAAGCGAGGCCCCATAACCAATGAAGAGGTTACCTGACTCTAAAAGATGCTGCTGATTAAATTGTAACTCATCAAGAAAAATAATATCATATACAGACAAATTCAACATCTAAGCATGAAGATGAAAATGCCAAACAGAACATTAACTTCACCGCTGCAAAACTACAAAAATCATTCAATTTTCAAACAGAGGAAAAGAAAAAGAAAAACAATATTCAGCATATAACAATGAAAATGATAAATGGCAACATCTCAGGGATGCGGAAGAAAGTAAAATTACCAGGATAGTGATCAAGGTATGATTTCCCATTCTTATTAGTTAAATAGGACTGTTCCCTCCCATGGCGTAAGTCCAAGTTGCGTTCAACTGGTTTGGTAGCTTTCATGTCTTCCGCAAGCCTTTGGCGCTCCTCCTTGTTATATGGCTTTCTTAAAATCTTCATCACTTGTTCCCTGAATAGCGAATCTCCTTCTCCATTTGGATTGCCAAGGCAAATGCAACCCTCATCTTCATCACCCTAATTATTGCAAAAAGGAAAACCAAGAAACAGGGGAAAATAATGTAATGCATTTCCAGTCTGTAAAATCGGTAAAAAATGATGATTTCAAAATCAGGAGAATGGTCAAGAAAGAATTAAGTATCATGAGCATACGAGATAACATACATCAGATCTGCCAGGAACTGCCAGAGGTTTAGGTTTTCCTTTCGTCGAACGGGTACCCACAATAAAAATAGAATGCAACTTCCCATCTTCGTCCTGGATAAAATTTTGCAAGAAAACTTGATAATCCCCATCCACGACCTCGACATTCCTAGAAGCTTCACACACTACTCCCTTGGTGACTTTTGCTGAGATTCTCTCATTTTTACCAATAGGATTCTTTGCAGACCTGCCAAACTTTTCATTATTGTGCTGCGTAGAATATGTATGGCTGGGCGCAGTATCGGGATCCTTATCCACACGCTGTTTTTTACGACAACTACCAACATGTGGAGTATAAACTACATTTTCGACAGTAATGTCCGTCTTCTCCCTCCTGATCTCTTGATCGAACACTTCATCCGTAACATTTTCCATGCGGTGATTCTCAGGTGATCCATTCCTTTCATCAGCTTGAACAACCCATACATCACCATCTTGCTTTAGGCTGTTCAAGAAAATTTCATATTGTGGTTCATTCTCCTCAGTTTCAGCATTTGTTAAATGAAAATTGGTATCACCCATCAAATAAAACTCATAGTCAGGATCCATAGACTTGGGCACTCTGGAGATATTGTCTTCAAATCCTCCTGAAGTTTCTCTTCAGATAATCAGCTGCAGAGTTTATTTTTACAGTAATTTTTAGTGTTTAAAGATTTTTTTCCTTGAAATGCATAGCAGAATTTGCCAGACACATCTGTTTATTCAAACTGTGACACCTGGCCTCTATTGACCTTTGACCTCTAATAGGCACAGCTTAACTATCCTAAATCAACTAGCTCGTGAGCTGCACTACACACCTAGGTAGACAACAAAAGTAAACAATAAACTTCATGAGAAAAGAGTTCAGGTTCAAGAAAGAAGGAAGCTACAAGGTCAGTCTCGTAAGTGATGAGTTCAGAATTGTCAGCACTTGGGTGACTGAGGGTCAGATTCAAAGACCATTTATGAATAAACCATTAGTCCTGCCATTAGAAACAGTGTTGTCCTGTTATAAGTAAAAAGAAGCTTCATCCAAAGAAATCAGTGGAACGGTTCAAAAACCAGAAGCATCAAGTCTCCTAAAACAGTACCTCAGACCAGATTTTCAGACCAAAACTTCCAGATTCTATGTCACATTCAAATTGAATTTCCGGACAAACTAGTTCGTATAATAATCTGAAAAATCCGCGTTAAACCAGGTTAAACAGAGTGGAGATTTACGGAAAGAAATATTGGAAAAGAATTTTAAAAAAATAAGAAACTAGCCTATGCACAGAGGAAAGGTGAAAAGCAAAACAAACCATGATACTCCAGTAAGACCCGGATGGGAAAAAATATGCACAAAACAAAGAACCATAAAACATGATAATCAATCCCTAAAAATAGCTAATCAAACCTGGATTCTGCCCTAATTCCTTCTGTGCGTTTTATTTTGAAACCAACATTCATACATTCCAGAAAAAACAAATAAAACATCTATATATTTCTAAAAACAGAGTCCTCAGCAACCAAGAACAACACACAACCAGGAGCATAAGGTTTAGAAATACTTGATAGTTTCCCTAAATCTTTCAAACTAATTCCAACTCTTCTAAGCATAGAATGCAAAATTCATTGTACAGTAATCTCACCTCTTTTGGCCGCTTCTTCTTGGTGGCCCTAAATCACCTCAGTTGTTACTGCTTTGCTTGTCGAATCAAAACCCCCCAAAAAATTCTAAATTTCTTCCTCATTCACTCTCACGGCCTCTCTCTCTTCTCCCTTCCTTTAGACTTTAATTCCTCATCCCCCTTTCTTGCTTGCTGTAATCGATATGTGGTGAAGGAGGAAGTCGGGGAAGAAGAAGGATGGAGAAAATGGAGACAAATAGGGCTTTGGGGGAAGGGTTTCAGAAAAAATGACAAAGAACACAGTACATTATACAGCAGTTATAATTTAACACACAACCGTTAATTACAACCTGGTCCCTCGAGTGGATTAGTTTAGTTAGTTTAATTCTTATGTTTTCAAATGGTTCCAGTGAATCCTTATTAGTTAAAAAAGGTTTAAAACTTGTTGTGACTATGAGTCTAACTAAAGGCTTGTTTGATAAAAATTATGCTCAATACTGATAAAATTATTAAAAATACTGAATTCATTAAGTCATTCATCATAAGCAGCTGGCTCCTCTCATTACTATATATCTCATCCAAATTACTAAGGAATTCCATCAACTTATGTCGATTTTCACGAGTGGCATTCTTTTTTTAAAAAAAATAAAAATTATATTGTATTATTTTACTAGAAATTGTCCAGCAACAATTTCTAATGAAAGATACAGTCAAAACAAAAATACAACTTACAGTTAAACTGTGTTTCTCATAGATAAATCTATCTAAATCTAACCAATACAACGATGGATATATTATGTATCAAATAATTAATCTGATCATGAACCTATTTCTCATCATTTGATGAAAACCCCAAATCATAGATCTATCAAATAAATCTATGATAACTGAATCTTTTTAAACCATACAGAGTGAAACAACGAGTGAAACTACGGACATCGGAGCAACAATATGCTATACACCACGAACACTACAAGAAAACCATACATTCTTAATAAATTATAATTAATCTACAGAAAAAACTATATTTTGGGAATAAATCTCACTTATTAAACGATAAAAAGAACTCTAAACGAAGAAAAATCAAATCAATTCTCCCATCGACCCATGAGGGAAGATAGGGGAAAGGAAAATTTTTTTTTTGAGAGGCGGCTAGGATTTGAGAGAATAATGGTACATTTCCACGAGTTGCAATCTTATTTGATCCACATCTAAAAGCTTATGGTAGATTTAAATACATCAATTCTAGATCTACCATCAATTCATCCCAAAGTTCTTGAGTTTAGTATAATAAACACTTAAGCTAATGTTTCCTTCGGAGAATGTAGCTATCTCTCTTCTTAAATAATAAATATGTGATGCATTTCGAATACCATGACTCTCTTTCAATTCTTCCTAAAGAACGTAACATTTTCTGCCAAATCATGATTATCTACCAATTTAAGAAAAATTGAATTTAAAATCCAAGCAATTACCATGTCGTTGACTTGAATCCACTGTTTCCAGTTATGATCTCCAATCTCCGGCATCTCCGCTATTCTAGTGATGAATCTGAGTTTATTTCTCGTTCCCAAAGCTCTGCGAATGACATGGCTCTAAGATATATAATTTATATCAGACAATTTTGTTGGTACGGTGACCAACGAATATCTGACGGATGAAGAACGATGGGTGATGGTATCCGTCATAATTTGCCACATCTCAATCTTTTTTTCGTGGTTCTTCTTGCCTTTCAGCACCACGATTCGTCGCCATTTTCTCTTCCACAAACAAATTCTGCTTGTAATTCCTTTAAAAATCGACGAATTCTCAAATCTTACCTTACTCTGTAAAATCCGACCGAATTCCGACCATATCTAGGTTATTTTCGGTATAGCGCAGGACATTAATCCTGCTCTGATACCATTTTAAATCAATGTTTTATGATTAAGTGGAAAGTTTTGGTAAAAATTCAAGCTTTTGAGAAAAAAAAAAAAAAACCAAGATCGAAGACTTAGAGGAGAAGAATTTTTTCTGTATATTTTGTAATTAATTTCTCTCAATGAATGACTACAAGAAGCGGACATATTAATTGACTATAATCTATACAAGATCTTCTTTTTTTAAAAAAATAAATACAAGATCTAAAGTATTTACAACCGTATCCCTAAAATTGTAATATTTACAAAACATCCTAATAATAAGAAATACTTAACAAATCACTTTGATCTTCTTGATGAAGAAATAAACAATTGACGACGGATCACGCCTTCCAATGAGGATAACAGTAGGTACAGACTCCAGCAAACAAAACACTCTTTCATTCAAGTTTCAAAAGTCAGCCCGATTCAATTTGTATAGCTGCTGACCCCCATTTCTCTTCTTTCTAAAAACTGCATTCCCAGCAGACAAGTTTACACAATCAAAAAAAAATCCAATCAAATTTTGAGCTATGGAGTTTGAAGTCAGAGTGGTGGGAGGTATAGAGAGCTGCTTTGTTTCTCTGCCACTATCTTTGATCCACACCCTCCAGAATACTACTTTCTCTGGTTCCCTCCCTCCAATTCTACCCCTTGAACTTCGTTCGGTAAGAAATAGTAGTCAACTTTGGCATGTTTCTTGGTCTGGCTCTGCTTCCTCTTCCTCTTCCATAGAGGTAAATTAATTACCAAGTGGGTTTCTTCTATCCATTAAAAATTTCGATTTTTTTTTCTTTTTTTTTGGGTGGGTTCTTGGTGTTAGGACTGCTCAGTTGTATCCGGGATGAGTTATTGTTCGCTCATACTGAAATCTTTCATCTGATTCTCATTGGGTTCTGGGTTTTTATGACTTACCAGTATTCAGTTTTGTGGTGCTTTTAAGCTGTAATTTTGATATGATTCGTTTGTTTCGTACTTCTTTGTGGTTTAGGTTGCTCAATTGTATGCAGAATGTATCGGTTTGTTAGACCGTACGGCTGTTCAAGTAAAGGTGAGTCCCAATGTGCCAAAAGCCACTTTAGTCTCTATTGAGCCGCATACAGAAGATGATTGGGAAATTTTGGAACTTAATGCTGAGCATGCAGAACAAGCAATTTTGAAGCAGGTAATTAGAAAAACTGTTTGAGCAACATATAAGGGGATTTCTTGTTTTGATTGTTAATTATTGTGGTGTTTGGAGTAGTAACTGGTGTTTGATTGTCTTGTTTAGTAATTTTCTGCCATAATTCTATCCATTATTTTAATTCAAGTTCCAGTGTTCTCCGTTCTGGTTCCTGGGAGTTAACTACTCTATTAGTTGGTCTTCTACTTTCCATTTCATCAACAAGGTCTTATTGTTTTTTGTTGCAACAAGAATAAAAATCATGAATTTATAATGGGTTTGATAATTAGTTTTTGGCAAGAAGATTGGCAAGATATGGGGATTTGTTTTATGTTTCATCCCTGGAGCTCCTGGTCATCAATACATCTGGTGGCAGTATGTGAAACATTTGGGCTAAGATGAGGCGTTAAGCAAGTGTGCTAGGTTGAGCGGGCAGTTTTATTAAATTAGGTGAAAGATTTATAATGCCAATAGGCTTGATAAAATCTTGATCGATGTTCCTCATCAGGATGCAAAAGACTCAGAACTGTTCTGTGTGTGAAGGTCACATAGTTCGCATTTGGTTCCGGTTCTGATTAAAAAATTCCAAAGATATATTTATAGATCAATTGAAGCAATTTTATTTTCTTTGACAATTTGGAATGTTATTACTGTAATTTTAGTTTGTTCATAGATTTTGTTTGGTTCTAATTCCGTTTCTTAACTGCCGAACATCATTTGGAAGTTTCCATGGAAACTAGCATGTTTCTTCCTCATCCCAAGCTAGAACCAGAAAGGCTTTGACACTCTATATGTTTAACTAGGTAATCTAATGTACTTCTGTACACTAAGATTTGTCTCTAGATGATGAGGATATAAGTATTTGATTGGATTGGTTCCCTCTATTTTTCTTTCCTTGATAACCATGTATTTTGTCTCAACCGTGAACCTGTTGATCTCCGGGAAGATTCACAGGTATAGACATGCCACCCTCTGCTTCTTCGAAGGAGTACCATCGCACTAATGCTCTAGAGTGTATACTACGTTCGAGTAGCTACAATAAATAATTTAACTTAGGCCTCATTTGGTTGTTCTTGAAGGACGGACAATTATTTGGACTTTGGAGCTTCTCAATGTATGTGTTTGAAATTTTAAAAAACTCCAAATGAAAGTACTGTACAACCTCTTCTGTGAAGTGTAACTTCAATGAGAAAGACAATGTGGATTCTTATTACCAATGTTCTTCTGAGACGCTAATGTACCATTGTCATTCTTTCCTTCAACCTCCCCTCCCCTTCCTTTTCCCAGGATTTTCTTGGTTACTTTGTTCCCACTCCTATCAGCTTGTATACAGCATGTTACGTTAATGATGTTCTGGTTTTATGATTATTTTGTGAACAAGAATAAGTTTCTCAGGTTGCAAAAACTCAATTTAGCTTCTGCTTGGTTGTTGAACATATGCATAAAGGAGTACGAAGAAAGTTCCAAATAAAAACTTCTGAAAGTATTTTGTGTGTTTGAAACTTGCTGCACATGAATTGCTTAATGGGGGACTTTCACGGAAATGATTACATTAGCTAGATTTGTTAGCGATTGACTTAGTAACTGCTTTCTTTGTAGTCGTAATATAGTTTTGATTCCTTCTGCTCTTTTGTAGAGTTTACTGGATCGAATTTTCCCTGGTTATATAGAGAAAACAGAAAACTAATTCAACAGTTTCTCAATCTACTTGCAAAATGGTGTAGGTGGGAATTGTGCATGAAGAAATGAGATTTCCTTTGTGGTTGCATGGGCAGACAAGCATTACATTTCTTGTTGTCTCAACCTTACCAAAGAAACCGGTAGGTAAGAAAGAATCGAATTCAGTTATCACGATGATTAATGATGAATCTCAGTATTAGTTTCTTTTCTGTTCTACTGTTTCCCTTCATCCATTTACCTTTTACTGGTTTTCAGGGAAGAAAGAAAAAATTCAATTATCATTATGATTAATGATGATTCTCAGCATCAGTTTCTTTTCTGTTCTACTGTTTTCCTTCATCCATTTACCTTTTACTGATTTTCTTCAAATAGATAGTCATTTTTTTCTGTTTTTTTTTGTTTCTTTTTTTTTGTTTTCCTTTTGTTTTTGTTTTTGCTTTTTTTTTTTTTGGTTCCAGATGCGAGATTATATTCAAATCTATACCTTTCTTCCAATAATTAGTTAATACAAAATAACTCAATAGCTTGCATTAACAACTCATGTCAATCCTCTAGTATCAGTATTATGTATATCTGCTTGCATTTGTGTTAAAAATGCATATTTCTGCAATGATTCCATGATATAAATTCAATTTCTTTATAAGGCTGTTCACTACTTCATAAGCAAGGATTCTGGATGGCTTTCTGTATGAACTTTTGAACATTCCTATGATATTGTCTGACTTGTGAATTTGCTTTTTAGTTCAACTTGTCCCAGGAACTGAAGTGGCTGTTGCCCCTAAGAGGCGTAAAAGACACTCGGATCCTCATCAAGATTCCATTATGTCAGCAGAGAGGGATGATCACAAATCTAAGGCCTTCCTGCGTCTTCAAGATATAAATGAAACTACCATTAACAAAGAGATCCACGGTTTTGATGTTGGTGTCGCACTCACTTCTGTTATCTTCATTCATCCTGAAACAGCTGACAAGTACTCACTCAGCTCTCTTGAGCTTGTGTTAATTGTTCCCAGAAAGCCATCTAAGGAACATGAGGGAAATCATCAACCAGAAAACCAAAGAATAAAAGGTGGTAAAACAGCAAAAGAAGTCAACGGTGATAAATGGGAGAAGGGTCAAGCAGTTGTGCGTCTGCTATTTTCAGAATCAGTTGCCAGAGGACATGTGATGCTTTCTCAGTCTCTTCGTCTTTATTTGAGGGCAGGCTTACGTTCATGTGAGTTTATTTTCTCCAGATTTAATTAGCTTCCTTGACTGTTATCAAATGATGTACCTAGTCTTGTGCCATTCAAACAGCTTGCTTTACATTTTGCATCATGTTATTATGTCATCGTGGAAAGGATTGCATTGTTTCTTGCGCCACTTTAGCTTTTGTAATCTTAATGACTTGAATTTTCTAATGTTCTGTATTTTAGTGTTCTCTTGCTCCTAGTTCTTGTTATCAGATGAGTGTTTCTCATCATGCTGCATGTTCTTCCCCTGAGCTGGCCAACCCAATTAATGGCTAGTCCCTGTACTTCGGAATTCTTTCAGTGCATTAATCATGCTCAGCTTCAAATTATTTAAATACACCTCTCGTGTTGGTGGATATTTATTCTCTTCGCTTGAATCTCTCGTTATGGAAATCCTGTCCCCATTAAAATAATTGCAATCAGCAATGGCTGTTTATTTCATTATTCTTGGGGTTCCAGAAATTCTATCTAATGTGAAATTACAAAAAAGTTTTTAGGACTATATGTCATATGAACTGTGGTCAGCTGGGTTAATGTTACTGAGAATTATTGAATGTGATAGGAAGTTTCTCCAAAATTTGTCAATGGCTTATCTCTGATGTTTCTTCATTATACTATCACATGACCAGTGACAGCTAAGATTTGCAAATGTAATGTTTCTTTTTCTTTCATGGTGATTTTCCTAAGTTGTGATTTCCAGCATCGTATGTGCTAAAATTTACAAAATCCAAAAGCAAATAGCTCGTTGACTTGTTTGTCACATGAAGACACTTCTGAACTGTTGCCATGGGATAATTGATTTTGTTTGTTTCTCTTTTCTGTTTTGGTCATTCCACTTAATGGTTTTGATATTAATAACCATTGACAGTCCATTTATCTTTTTCAATTTTTAACTTTTTAGGCTGTTTGTTAAGGCATAAAAACCGTTGAGTGCATTATCTCTGTTCTGAAGAGGTCATTACGTGCTTTTTTTTGGCTTCCAGGGGCATATTTGAAGAGCTGGCAGGGTAATTTGAATAAAGAAATTTCCCTGTTGAGGATATCACCTTGCCAAGTAGAAAAGTTTCAGAAGTATGAGATATTTGAAAACAACGGGGCCAAAGTTTTGGATAGTCAGAAGAATTCTAGAACCGCAGAAATGCTTCTTGGGAAGAATATGGAGGCAGAGATGGTTGTGGCAAATTGGTCAATGCATCAGAGGATAGCTGCTGCTATTTCCAATGAATTTCGTGGCAATGAAGACGACAAAGATCATACTGTTGAGACTAGCATAAAGAAAGTACTGTCAGCTTTCTTGCTTGCTTGGTATCTAGCTCAACTTGATGCAATTGCTTCTAGTACAGGTGTGAAACTTAATTCTTTGGTGATTGGTAGCAACACTTTACTTCACTTTGTGGTCAAACAAAATTTGGTCGAGCAGTTTGGAAAGCAAGGACCTGCAGATGCTTTGTCGAAAACTCAATTTCAAGCTGGGGACACACCAGTTGACATCTTTTATGTTCTCTCAGTTTCTGAGCAGACACTGCCTGCCAAAAAGTTGGATTTATTTGAACTCTCTATTGATAGTACTTCTGGAAATACATTTGACTCTCACTTAAATGTCCTGCTCCCTAAAGTGCAGTTGGGTGATCATAAATTCATTTCTGCTGTCGACCAGAGAGTGCCTGCCAAATCAGTGGGCCTGACAGTATCTTCGTTGAACTGGATGGGTAGAATCCTATCAGATGTGATAGACAGATTGAAAGCTTTTCTCTTATCAAATTCTGGGGTAACATATAATAACTTCGGTCTTCCTTTGCCGGGTCATATTCTGATTTACGGTCCTCCTGGTTCCGGAAAAACACTATTAGCCACAGTAGCTGGAAAATCAGTTCAAGAAGGTGATGAAATTCTGGCACACATCGTCAATGTAAGTTGTTCTAGACTGGCTTCAGAAAAGCCGTCAACCGTTCGTCAAGAATTTGCAAGCTACATAGCTGAAGCCCTAGATCATGCACCTTCTGTTATTATCTTTGATGATCTTGACAGCCTTATTCCATCATCCTCCAACTCAGAAGGACTGCAACAGCCCTTGACTTCTGTTGGACTTGATCAATTTCTTGTGGATATTATTGATGAATATGAGGAAAAGAGAAGAACTTTGTGTGGGATTGGCCCTGTTGCTTTCATAGCTACTGCACAGTTGCTGACCAATCTGCCACAGACATTGACCTCTTCTGGAAGATTTGACTTTCATGTTAAGTTGCCTGCTCCTGCTGCTGCGGAGCGTGCCGCGTTGCTGAATCATGAACTTCAGAGGCGCTCCTTGGAATGTTCTGATGATATCATTGCAGACATAGCATCAAAGTGTGATGGATATGACGCATACGACATTGAAATACTCGTTGATAGGTCTGTACATTCTGCTGTTGGTCGTTGTTTGTCCAGTGACTTAGGTTCTAAGGAGTGTATGAAGCCCCTTTTAGTTAAAGATGATTTTCTTAGTGCCATGCACGACTTCCTTCCAGTTGCAATGCGGGATATTACCAAACCTCCTTCTGAAGGAAGTCGTTCTGGTTGGGAGGATGTTGGTGGTCTTCAAGATATCCAAAATGCTATAAAAGAGATGATTGAGTTGCCTTCAAAGTTCCCAAATATATTTGCCCAAGCTCCTTTAAGGATGCGCTCCAATGTTCTTCTATATGGCCCCCCTGGTTGTGGAAAAACACATATTGTTGGTGCTGCTGCATCATCCTGTTCATTGCGGTTTATCTCAGTTAAAGGGCCTGAGTTGCTGAACAAATATATTGGTGCCTCTGAGCAAGCTGTACGAGACATATTCTCAAAAGCAGCTGCAGCTGCGCCATGCCTTTTATTTTTTGATGAATTTGATTCCATTGCACCAAAGAGAGGGCATGACAATACTGGTGTGACAGATCGAGTTGTTAATCAGTTTTTGACCGAATTAGATGGTGTCGAAGTCTTGACAGGCGTATTTGTTTTTGCTGCAACAAGCAGACCAGATTTGCTTGATGCTGCACTTCTCCGACCTGGAAGGCTCGATCGCCTTCTTTTCTGTGATTTTCCTACGGAGAATGAGAGGTTAGACATCTTGAAAGTTCTTTCTAGAAAGCTGCCATTGGCAAATGATGTTGATTTGGCTGCTATAGCTCGTGTGACTGAAGGGTTTAGTGGGGCCGATCTTCAAGCACTACTATCAGATGCACAGCTTGAAGCAGTCCACAATCTTTTAGGCAATGAGAATGAAAGTGAGAGCAAAAAGATGCCAATAATTTCCGACTCTCTTTTGAAAGTTATCGCCTCCAAGGCAAAGTCATCAGTTTCAGATTCAGAGAAACAGCGGTTATATGATATTTATAGACAATTTTTAGATTCAAAGAGGTCTGTTGCTGCACAGGTATCATGTCATTTCCCTTTCTCTCTTTTCCATACATCAAGATGTTTGAAGAATAAAATGTGTCATTTGCTTAATCCTTTTGCTTGTTTGCGCAGTCAAGAGATGCGAAGGGAAAAAGAGCAACCCTGGCTTAAGGTTTACAGAAGCGGGGTAACTGGCAAAAGTAGAAAATAAGCTCCAAAGTTGTTCAGTGAGTGAATACCAACATCTGAGTCCAGTTATTGGTGAATAACATGTATTACCTTGTGCTCTCTCCGTCCTATAATTATTATCCAATTTGGATTTTCATATCTAGTTCAAATTGTACTAAAAGTGAAATTTTAAACTGGACAATAATTTTGGGACAGAGGGAATTTTAATCTTTTTTAATCGTTCATTTGAGTGGTATTCATTTCAGATGCATATAACCCAACGTGGAATCATCATCATCATCATTATTATTATTATTATTATTATTATTATGTAAATAAAAAGATGACCCTTTTAAATCACTTGCATACATTCTTGAAGTCACGCATGACTCTTGCACTTGTAATTTTGTCATTTACTAGTTCTCCTGCGCACTGTGCGGGTGCTGCAGAACGGAAAGAGAAAAAATACACATGTATATTACTATATTCAATGTCATGCATGATATTTTCTATTTAAAAAATCGAATAAAATGAGGGTGTGTTTTAAAAATGAAATATACACTTTCTTTTCTTTGTATTTTGACTATTTTTCGGTTGAATGGATACTTTATTCGATTTAGGGCCTGTTTGATAAAAATTAATGCTTAATTCTGAATGGTTAATACTGAATTAGAAATGTAGAATTTATTAAACAATTAAAGAATAAGCAATAAGCTAACTTTTATTACTTATATTTTGTACTACAATTTCAGCATCACTTAATTCATTAAGAGGTTCATTTTTTATTATCAAACATGATGAAATGAAAAAAAATACTTAATTTAATAATTTTAAGCATTAAATGGCTACAGTTTCAGCATCACTTAATTCATTAAGAGGTTCATTTTTTATTATCAAACATGATGAAAGGAAAAAAAATACTTAATTTAATAATTTTAAGCATTAAATGGCTTTAACAAACAAACCCTTAGATTCTCAAGGGAACCCACATAATAAGTAGCTTAAAAACGTTTTCTTTTTCCACCAAAAAAAATAATAATAATAATGCGGTTCTTGTGGATTCTTAACAAATTATTTTAATGACCTTATCTTTAAAAACTATCTTAACAAATTATTTCTAATTTTTTTGAAATTGAAAACAGAAAAAATTATCCTAATGAACTGTGTTAACAAATGTATCTCAACTTTTTTTTTCAAAGAAAACCAAATAAGTTTAAACTTGACAAACTATATTCACATATCTTTAAAAAAATATAAGATTTAATTACTTTTATTTTGGTTGAAAATTCTTAAGTTGTAAATAATTGAAATTGAATTAAAACATAAAAAGATTTGCAGAAATAGTATTAACTCTAATCACGAATTGTATATCAATTCTTAAAAGTAAATCAAGGCTCTCTATCGGGAATTAAATGACAATTTAATGGTTAAGTTGTTGTCTTTCTTGATAGTAGATTAAAATTCAATTCCATCAGGGGTTCTAAGGAAGGTTTTTATTCACATTTAAGTGGGTTTATTGGGCCAGATTTTTATTTTTTTTTAAAAGAACAAGACTCTCGACCATGAGGTTGAAATTTTATGGCTGATAATTCTCCACCTGAAATTTGTTTTGGAATTGAATCGAGGAAGATATGCTTGTTTTTTCCCCCTCGATGAGACATTGAACATCTTCTTGTGAATATGAAGTAACAAAAATTTGATAATGAGAAAATATTTTATCTAAAGAAAGACCCACCATAATTTTTATATTTGCATGAACAACAAAATGTTTACTTTTTAAAAGAATCATAAACCACAAAATGTTAATTAGTAAATAATGAGAAAAAAGATGGTTGATTTGAAATTGACGTGGTACAAATACTAAATATTGAAAACCACTTTGCCTCAATAGTTTCTAAAATCTGTCCCCCCAAAAATTTTTTTTTTCTACCAAAGCACAACAAATTTTACTTTAAAAAAAAAAGAAATTCAAGAGCTCTTTAATGGTGTCGGAAGTGAAAATCAATATCCACTAATGATAGAATTAAGAATTAACAATACCAGTATCATCATCACCATTTGCAACATAACATCAATTCATTGGTTAAAAAACTTCTCAGTTTTGGTTATACTAATTCTTACCCTGCACGTTATGCAGGTTATTTTTTCTTTCTCAAATAAGTATAGTATTATGTTAATTCATAAATTAGTGTCCAAAATTTTATAAATAAACAATTTCGATGGAGAAAAACTAACTGGCAATTCAAAATTTGTATTTCTCAATCAAAAGAAAAAAATAAAAATACTGTAGTTCTTTTTCAGTATCAATTGTGACTATTAGGAAAAGACGAATTAATTAAGACCATAACACAATAGTATGGACATACGAAATCTTCAAATGAAATAAGTTCATTATTTTTTTTTGTCATTTTGAGCATCTGTGGTTCATCAGTCACATACACTCATAATCGCCTATGGATATAGATCATTCTTACCGTTCAATATATAAATGGGCAATGTGAAAATCAAGAAGAATTATGTCCATATGCTAAAAATCTTTTAGGTAGATTCTAGATTAGAGTCAGATTTTTGGAGATTCTGGATTAGGTACAATTAGGTAGTTTTAAATTTCAAATAAAAATTCAAGATTTTGTGGATATGAAGATATTAGGAGTTAGCAAATTTATTTGAATGATAATAAGAATGGCAACGAGTGAAATTTTTTTACGCATTTTAAATTAGCAACTCGTGCCTCCTTTAAATTTTTTACACTCAAAGTAATTAATTAATTAATTATTTTTTTATCCCTCGTGAGTCGTGATCCCCGATTCATGCCGCCGTCGCTCATAGCCACTGTCAACGCCGGAAAAGCAATTGCAACGATGCTTTAATTATCAATCTCACATCTCTACGAAGGTTTATCCTCTCTCCCACACCAACGCCGGAAAGTAGATAAGCAAGCTGGGAAACCTATTCCGGTCAAGCAATTGCTTAAATTATTTTGATGAAGCAGCAGCCAAACCATTCAGATCGACCATTTGTTCTGATAAATTTAGGGAAAATATTTTCCCGCCACTTTGATCGGCAGTAGGGGAAGTGGGTAAAATGTACTTTGCCCAAAAAAAAAAAAAAAAAAATAATAAAGAAAAGAAAATGGAAAATAAATCTGCCTAATCTCTCTTAACCACCCACCGGATGTCCCGGTAATATTCAGAGATTCGGATTCTGTTCTTTCACGCACACTCACAAAACACTTGACAGTAACAACCTTCTGTTTCACAGATCTCTCACAGTACACTTTGACACTTTGACACTTGACTCCTCCTCCTCCTCCTCCTCCTCCTCTTCGTCATGGCTTCCACCGCCGGCGATGTTCTTCGGAATAATCTCTCGATTCTTTCTCCTGATCAGGTTCGTCCAAATCTGACATCGTTTTATGATTCGATTTATCTGTTACGCGCCTGATTTTCATTTTTTTTTGAATATGTATGTTAAAATAAAGGTTGAGTTGGCGAATATGTTGATAGAGATGGAACAAAGTCATCTGTTTGAACATTGGCCCGAGCCAGGCATTGACGATGATGAGAAGCGGGCGTTTTTTGATCAGGTGATTTTATTTTCCCGATTACCTATCTTTTTTTTTTCCCCCTTTAAGTTGAAGTTTCTGCATTTGTTTATCAAGTTTGATTGCATGAGTTTTTCTTTGGAGCCGAAAGTTAGTTGATGTCCTGTACTGCCGAATTCTAACTCTAGTGTTGATCATGGTAAGGTGATGAAATTATAATCTAGGGAGTGAGACCTAAGATGTTGAGGCGGTGAATTTTCATGACGATTTGGAATCTGAACATACAATTATGAATTGGATTGATCCAAAAAGGCTGTTTTGTGCGATTGAGGAGATATTCATATCTCACTTTAAGTGCGAAGTATGTTCCTACCTGTTTAATAGGGGGAAAAAAACCAGAGTTTGAATGATCTGAATTTGCTATTACATATTCAACACATGAAATCATTTCAGTGAAAATATTACTTGGTGTTTTAAATTCATAAGGTAATATGGTAATTCTTGGACTTTGTAACTTTAATCAGTAACTGATTACAGTATGTTTTATGCTTTTGGCTTACTGAACTTTAGTGTATTCTTGCATTAGCATCTTCTGGAAAAATGAAAATTACAAACTCAGAAAAAAAGAAATATACTAATATGCCAAAATGAGAGAGATGGGTGGTGGGTGCAAAGAAAGAGAAAAGTAGTTCATTACAAGTGAAGTATTAGTTATACTAATACAAGTGCAGTTTGATCTGGTGAATAATAGTTCGTTTAGTATGACATTTTAGATTGCAAATTGATGTTCAGGGGACTCCAGTGATTTGTTCTATGGTTTGGCTAATGTTATGATTGTGGAGAATTTTTCTAGCTACTATGCTTTTCGGATTTTGCATACCTGTTAATTTTTCAGTTATGTGGAATGTTTTGTCCTGTTTGAACCTGAATGTTTGTCAAACTGTGGTTCCATTTTGCTTTCAAATAAAGTGCAGTTCAGGAATATGTTCAACATAATTTACTGGCTGAGCATTCTGCTTCTAGTGTGAAAGCTTTAGTATATGACTTCTTCTTTTCTTCTCTTCTTATATTTTGGCCATTCACATCGTACTCGTAGAAAATGTTCTGGAAGAAGAACCAATCCTGTTATTCAATTCACTTTTTCTTAATAGGACTCATTCAACATGTTGTTTATTTATTAATTTTTTTAATTATTTTTTTGTAGATTCAGAAACTTAACTCAAGTTATCCTGGGGGCCTGGCAGCCTACATAAAAACTGCCAGAGAACTTCTTGCTGATTCAAAGTCCGGGAAGAACCCATTCGAAGGATTTACTCCTTCTGTAAGTTAGCTAATGTTTTTATCATTCATATACAAACATTTCTGTTTCACATGTTGGATTAGTGTAAAGGTAAAATTGCTTGGCTGGTGCTCCATTTCAGTGTTTAATCTGGTTACGAACGTGTTTTTATGCAACTCTTAATTTGTGTGTGGTAACTATGGTTGGGAGATGCATGAATATTCAACTGAACTCTGTTGTATGTAAGCAGGAATTTCAGCTCACTATACTCCTTCAACTTGTGAATATAAATTACGATATTTGTTCTCCGAGATAAGTCTTGATCTTATAGTCAGTGATGCACCATTATTGGTTCCAAAATCTATCCTTTATGCCTTGGCCTAATTTAGCTAAATGGCTAACTTTTGCTCAGCTCCTGGCATTTCTTGATCTTAAAACTCTGTGTGCCTTTTGATCGATTATTTATGGGTAGTCAATGAAACCTCCCTTGCTCTCTGCTATACCTGATCTGTTACCTTCACCAGGTCACAGATAATATTATTAACAAGCTAAAAATTAATAGATTTTTATTGTGCTGCCTCTTTTACCCCGTCGAAGCTATTTTTGACTACATCTGAATAGCTTGGTGCCTATTTTGGGTCTAATATGATTTCAGCGTCTGATAGAATAATGTCCGGGTAGCTTGGTGCATGAACATTAGTTTAAGGAGGATTGATCAAACATCTTGATATGATATTGATAATTGTTTAGGTACCGTCTGGCGAAGTTTTGACTTTTGCGGATGATAACTTTCTCCAATATGAGGCGGCCGGTGTTAGGGAAGCACGGAAAGCTGCCTTTGTCCTCGTTGCTGGGGGGCTTGGGGAACGTCTTGGATATAATGGAATAAAGGTACAACACATATAATTGATGTCTGATCCTTGGTTGCTTTGGTTGACCTTTGTATTGAGCAAAGTGTTCTATCATATGTTTCATGTGAAAGATTACACCTGGAAAATTGCCTTTTGAACTTACAGGTATAGGCAGAATAATGTTATCTCATAATTGATCAACAAATCGTACTATTTGTGACCACTTCTTGTATCTCGCAGGTGGCTCTCCCTTCAGAGTCCATTACTAGAACATGTTTCTTACAGCACTATATTGAATCAATCTTGGCTTTGCAAGACGCTAGCTGTAGACTAGTCGAAGGTTAGCTTCTACCAGAGCTATTTAGAGATTGAGTTATTATGTAATTTATTCTTTCTGTATGAAAATGGCCTTTTTGAGCACCTTGCACTATTTATTGTGGGTTGCAGTATATGCTTGACATAGGGGTTGGTCTTGAGTATCAGCTTACACTGGCACTGCTATTAGAATTTGGTATATAGGAAGTAATCAACTCGTGTGGTATACTTGCGTCATTCCTCTTGTTTTTATGATCTGGATTAGGCTTATCAATTGTTTCTGGTCTGTTTAGTTTATTGGGTACAAATGACGTCGAATTCAATTTATCCTTCTGATTGGTCCTTTACTTATGCTATCGTTGTCTTATCCAGTGATGCCTAGTAGTGCTTTAGTACAAGTTTTGTGAAATAGTCAACTTTGCGATTCTTTGAAAATTTCAAGAAATGTTCTCCCTGTTACGTTACTATTTGCTTGCAATCTTGAATAGCAAGACAGTGCACTGCTCTAATAGTTGCCTGTTCTTCCTTTACCCTCCCTTTTCATAGACAGTCAGCTTATATTCCTTTCGGAGATTCTTTGTTTTCTTCAGAAACAGTCACTAGCTTCATAAATTTTATTGTGAAACATGTGGTTTGTCTAACCTGTTGGTGTGGTTATTTTGTTCTCCCTTGAGAGTTTCATGAGTTTGTGAGTGTTTACACACATCTTTTGAGATTGTCTGAAAAGTAGATTGTGTTTGGTATGTCCTGGAAGTTAGGATATATGTTCAGAATGAGTGTCGAAAGAGATGACGGTCTGTTATCTTTCCCCATTTTTTTCGACATGTAGGTGGAAGTATGATTCTTGAACATGAATATTCTATTGAGTAGCTTCTGTTGGTTCATGTGAACTATCTCTCAGCATATTATTTAACAAACTTTTTTAGCTTTATGCATAGGAAATTGTTAGGTTTGATCTGTGTAGAATCCCCTGACAGGTTTTAACTTATGGCATTGAGATCAAGTTAAAATAGAGACACTATTTCTTTTTCCTCTTACTAATTGTTCTGTTACTTTTGATGCTCTGCAAATTAGCTTCCTAGAAATAGATGGCTCTGTTTTTTCCCCCCTGAATCTGGATGGATAGGAGTAATTTCCAGCCTTGATCTCATTTCAATTTCCCTTTTTGAAGTCTTTGAGACTAATATGACATTTATGTCAAGAACCTACAGATTGTTTACCCTGAAAAGGATTCCATGCGTGTAGGTGAATGTCATGCTGAGATTCCTCTAGTTATAATGACTTCTGATGATACACATTCAAGGACAGTAGATCTTTTAGAATCCAATTCTTATTTTGGAATGAAGCCAACACAAGTCAAGCTACTAAAGCAGGTAAGGAGTTATTTAACCGTAATATGGGGTTTTGCGCCTTGATAACAAGTATTTGTTACATGCTTTTGTGGTTATGTGCCAGGAAAAAGTTGCTTGTTTGATTGATAATGATGCTCACCTCGCGCTGGAGCCAAATAATAAGTATAGGATACAGGTGACTTTTTCAGTGTTTAGATTACTTCATAGAATTTAGATTGTACAAACCTAATAATAAATTTTTCAATATCGTGATGTCATTTAATGTCTTAATTTTTTCTTATTTAATTCAGACGAAACCTCACGGCCATGGTGATGTTCATTCACTTCTCTATTCAAGTGGCGTTCTGAAAAACTGGTAGGTAATTGCACTTTGTTCTTCTATTTTCCTGTTCAGTTCAACGTGATTTCGTGTTGCTTTGTGATGGTGGAAATAAGTATGTTCATGGCCTTCTCATTGAGGCCCCTTCTATGATGCCTCTCACCATGCATACAAGTAGGACATATATGTAATAAGTATGTCTCTCACTGAAGGTCCAACACAAAGTTATGTGTCCTTTAGAATATATGTAAGATGTCTGCACAAACTTTCTGACAGATTGTTCTGTTTTCCCGAACTTCTGGCTGTCTTTTAATGAATATTACGAAGACGACTAGATGTGTACATGGATGTGTCTGTTAATGTGGTTTCTAATATTCTATTTCAGGCATGAGGCTGGTTTGAGGTGGGTTCTGTTTTTCCAAGATACAAATGGTCTTCTTTTTAAGGTTAGTAGGGCCTTTCTGGAAAGTCTCTTTTACTTTACTAGGAACCAAATTTGATATCCTATCATTTCCTTATTGTTTAGGCTATTCCTGCCTCATTGGGTGTCAGCACCACTAAGCAGTACCATGTTAATTCTTTAGCTGTTCCTCGCAAAGCAAAAGAAGCTATAGGAGGCATTACAAGACTTACTCATAAAGATGGTAAAGTATAAATTGTGTTTTTGACATTCCTAAATAAAAACTGTTATATGACATTCCCAGTTTGATGGAATTACAAGACTACAGAGTGCTATGTATTATTAAATTTAAAAGTATATTGTTGAAGGTTTCTTGCACTACATTTGTTTGCTGCTTTATTTTCCAGCCACTTGATTATTTACTACTAGCCACTACTAAATCTATATTGAAGAATACTAATTGTAGATACTTTGTTACCCTTTTAAATGCTGCATTTTTCTTGGCTTCAACTATCTATTCATCTTGCTAGCTGTAGCAATCTCTGCTGATTTCCTACTCCTATGGGGTTTTCATTATTGTGGGTGCTTTTTTTGATAATACCCATCTACAGGTCTCGTGTCTTACAAAATTCTCTGGCTTCTATTTGCATGTCCTTTGGGCAAATGGTATATTCAATATTGATAAATTAAATAGATATGACAGGACTCTCTATACCAAAAAACCAAAATTTAAAGTTCTGGACGTGGCTGCATGCTGTGGACTGCAATGTTTTCACTAACTTGATGGGGGGAACAGGGGCTGAATCGAAATCAGATGGAATAGGCAAACCCTTATAGGGATTTTAGAAAGACAGAGTCTTTGAAAGCTTTAAAAGCTTTGGTTTTTATAAAATTTCAGGATAACATGAATAACAAAACTGCAGAAGGTCTCTATTTATAGAGGGATTCTGTTTATTCCTTGTCCTACTAGGCTTAATAATTTCCTAAAACTTAGGACTAAAACTGACGTTCAAATAAAATACTTGATAAAAAAGGAAATTACTTATACTAATTTAATAATAAAGCTATATCTTAAATCTTCCTGCATCGTAACTGCTGTAATAATATCATGTGGGCATTGTTCTTTCAGGGAGGTCAATGGTGATAAATGTGGAATACAACCAGCTGGATCCTTTGCTTCGAGCAACTGGGTATCCCGACGGTGATGTCAATTCTGAGTCAGGCTATTCTCCATTTCCTGGAAATATAAATCAAGTACATTTTAAATCTCTTGTCATTGGTTTAGCCTTCAATTGTTCTATATTTTGAGAACATGTGCCCTTCTAGTTGATACCAATGTGTTTTATCGTATGTACTTATGACTTTTCATGGTGGTAATAATCTTTTGCTTAGAGCGTCAAACAGTCTGGTGAGGGTTGGCATTTTCATTTGAATAATTTTGATATCCATGGAGCTCTCTATATTCGGGTCTTAGCTTATACTGCTTGCATTAAAAGGTCAATTGTGGAACTGTTACTTGCTAAAGAGAATAACACATTTTTGTGTGAAAATAAGAACATTTGAATATTGCAAATAAAGATAAAACTCAACTATCTTTAACCTTTAATATTGCAAATAAATTCCCATGTAATTCGTCTCCATTACCAAGCAATTATTCTTTCGTCTGATTGGTTAAAAGTCTATCCTAGTCTTCACTGCCAATGTTATGATCATTAGTTCTGTCCTTTAAGTGATGACTAGGTACTTATTTGTTTAATCATAGATCTTCTGATTGGGAATCTTTTCTTGAATGGGTTTTCCTCTCGAGGAGGTTTTTCGGTTACTTGTTATGTATGTATATATATGTGTGTGTGTGTGTGTGTGTGTACATGGATGTTTGGCAATTATTAATGCTTCAAGACGATTTTATTTATGGCCCCCCCCACCCCACCCCCCCCACCAAAAAAAAGCCATTTTTCAGTTTTTGTTTCATGTCTCTGCATGCAAGTTTTAAGGTTTCGTCGTGTAGGATCTTGAAATTAAAATGATTCATCGTGAATTCTGTTTAGTTGCAGATGTGAATTGTGTTTCCTTGTAATTTGCTGAATTTTAGCATTCACGGAAACAAAAAACTCAATTGTTTTATCCGGTGTTAGAATTGATCATGTACATGCCCACTTCTCTTTAAAGAAAATTGTCTTGCCAATTTTCAGATTAAAGAGTACTTCTATATTATGCGTTTTTCTTGAATTCCATCTTGCAGTTAATTTTGGAAATCGGTCCCTACATGGAGGAGCTTACAAGAACTGGAGGTGCCATTAAGGAGTTCGTCAATCCTAAGTAATATAGCTCTTTCTTCAAAGCTTTTCTTTCCACCAAATTTATTTAACTTTATTGCTTTGTTTTAAAAGCTGGCCCACATGGCTTTGCAGTTTGATTCCTTCTCCAGGATTTTGTTTTCTTTGCTTTTTTGACTCGAAGGTTTTATCTTACATTAGTGTAGTATCAATCATCTCTAAGAACCATACACTCAACACAGTCTTTGTAAGATATAAATTTTTACTAATATTTCGAGATTCAAAGCATTGGATATGTTAGTCAAGATCCGTCTTTTAAGTTCAGCTACACCATTAATGTTTTTTTTTTGGTGAAATTAAATTATATTGATAATCTGCAATCAATCCAAATTTACAACTAAAAGTCTGCCCTTTTTTTTGGTCAAACTTACAACTGCTAATTGCTCCAGATATGTCTTTCTACATCCATGACATTCCTAGTTAATATCTTTTTTACTCTCAAAAGGACCTCTTTCTATGTCCCTTCCATGATGCTTAACAGTGTTCTTTGCTTCCACCAAAAAAATTTCACTCCTCCTAGAGATGTGTGGTACACCATTGCTGCTACTACTGCTTTCAGGATTTTCTTTTTCAACAGGGTAAATTTCCAGACATACAGTATCTCTTCTCTCCACTTTCTACATTCCCTTGAAGTTCCTTTATCTCCAGCCACTGCCTCTCAGAAGCAAAACAAACTCAAGAGAAATGCTCTACACCCTCAGGTTCCTGTTTACATTAAACACAATCCACGTGACTCACTGGAATAAGCATTATCTGTTGTACTTCTCTACCCTTAGTAGGTAATCCTTACACATCAGCAATACAATAAAAGAATGCTTTTGCATGTAGCTGCTGGCTTTCTGTCTTCTTTCCCCATAAACCAATGATGACTAGCAGATTAGAGTAGTGCCAGCTTGCATCATTTTTTGCTTGGGGTGGGAGGGTTGGGTGGGGTGGTTAGGGATTAGGATGGAGGATGGTTATTACCAGGAGGTCAAGAGTTTGATTCTCGCTGGGGCCATCCAATTTTTTTTTTCTTTTTAATTCCCAAAAATTTTGCTTTCCTAGATAAATTTCACGGATCCATCTAACCCACAAGTTGTTAATGTCTTGGCCAGATCAGGCCTTCTGATATTCAGTCCTCCATCTCTTTTCTTTCTATATAAAATATCCTGGCCCACAAACTGTATTCCTCTGTCCAAGAAATACGTGCATGTTCTAGTGATTTGCTTCTAAATGCTTTGAAGTAAGCATAAGAAAATGAAGCCAAGTATATGTTTAGTGACGGCAGCACAGAGTTAACTAAATGGAGGCTTCCAGCATATGGCAGATGCCTGGAACTCCAACCCTTTTATCCTGGCCACCGTTTTCTGAACCAATACTACACCAATAAGTTATTTGTTGCTCAACAAAGCATATACCTGATGCGTTTAGCCTAAATTTGCACTTTTGAATTGTAAGTAGCCTTGGTGACAGAGGGAAGAATTCATCAAGTGGTCACAGGTCCTACAAATGGGATAAGAGCGCAGTTACAGATTTTATATTGTTTTTATCAATATTTGAGAGAATCAGACACCTTTTTTCTGGTAGAAATATTACTAATGCAAAGTTTATTAATATGTGAAATGCAATGTTAGTGAATGCCGTTTCAGATGTTACATGGTTTTGTCAAAGTGCTGCATTTGAGCACCTTGGTTCCTTGAATGAGAATAATCTCCACAAAAACCAGTCTTGCAGCCTATTTTGTTTACTTTGTAGGGCATTCAAATATTTCTGGTTCTAGCTCTTTCTGTTGTCTGTTTCTTGTGATTTTTGATATTAGTCGTGGATTGCTCATTTTATGATCATTTTCGTGTTACTACTGGCTCTATGGTTATTATTCGATTCTCTCTCTTGTAGCTGTTATGAGGTACCTGAAATGGTATAGATAACTCTCCATAAGATCCGGTCTGATGCCTTGTGGTTCCGGTGCTGCAAACTCTTAAGTTACGGATGAGATATCTAATTAAACAAAAGAGTGAAAAATTCGTGTTTCAATATTCTACTAGTTGATGAGTCATTATGGGAATATTACTGCATCTGATTATCATAGTGTCTAGACTTTTTGGTACCTTTGGATTATTCCATTCTTTGATTTGTTTCATCGGTTTTAGGCCACCTTTGGACGTTGGCATCTGTCGGAAGTGTTTCTGTATAGATACTATCTACTGTCCTTTGAGATTTTTTGGTTCACTGACTGCTTTCTTTCTTACTCCAGATACAAAGATTCCACTAAGACGGCTTTTAAGTCATCAACTAGACTTGAGTGTATGATGCAAGATTATCCTAAAACACTGCCTCCTTCAGCGAGGGTTGGGTTTACGGTAAGCATAATCTGGAATCCAAGAATTTGACTTTTTATATGGTTCTTTTCGAACTCTGGTTTTGTTAAGAAGAAGATTGCTATGTTTCATTTTTTGGAGAACTGATTGTATTATTGGCTATTCAGGTTATGGATGCATGGCTTGCTTATGCCCCTGTAAAGAACAATCCTGAGGATGCTGCAAAGGTATTATTGGCACTCAAGTCTATAATCACTCATTAGTTCCTGCATAATCTTCTCAGCATTTTAAGTTTAGTTATGGATAAAATCATCATAGGCTTCGGTTTTAAAATTTTCTCTCTCTAAAATTCTCTCTCTCTCTCTCTCTCTCTCTCTTTCTTATTATTATGATGGACAAGATTTGATAAAATTCCTTTTAATTTACTATTTTTATTTGAGTCTTGAAACAATTTCTGATTTGAAGAGCAAGGAAGTAAAAGTTGTAGATGTTTCATTCAACTGGGAGCTTGCTTTAAGCTATTAGTTAAAAGTCATTTTCAAAATGTTAGATGTGTTGAAATAGAATAACTTCCTGTTTTTGCGTTACTTAATGCTATCAGGAATAACATTAGAATTTTTTGTTCTTGTACTTTTTGTATGTCACCATCATTTTCTATGCACATTTAGCATGTAGATATGTGCAGGGCACATATGTATTTGAAATTGAGATTGTGATACACAACAGTTCTGCATACTATGCAGGATTACCATGGGATGAGCTGATTCCTGAAAAAATAATGACATTTTGGAGGAAGTTTTCTGGTTTCAAAATACTGTTATATGATAAAAATTTGTTTTTAACTTAAGAAGAACCACTCTAGTTTAAGCTAAGGAATCACCCTAGTCTAAGGAGTCCTAGTTGCATCCTTTTAGTTTCTGGGTATTTGATTTCTTTACCTCTCAAGTATGTCAATAGCATGGTAGATATCTTACCTGGTAAAGTGCAAGTCTCTGATTTAGCCACGAGTCAATTGCTTCAAACATCTAAAGATAGTAGACAAAAACAAAGTTTTCGTTGTCAGTGCTTCAACCATAGGCTACTTGTTCCACATTTCAGCTACTTAAAAGATGGTAGACTGATCTGACAGATGAAAACTTATTAAAGGTTAAAAAAGGGTAACCATTTCCTGGATACCCTTAGTGTCACAAATTGTCATGTTATTGATTTCCCTTCATTTTGTAATAGCTTCAAGATTGTAGATATCAATGTTACTATCTAAGACCTTTATTTGTTATTTTAAAGTTTTTGGATTTTCCGTATAGGTGCCTAAAGGAAATCCATACCACAGTGCTACTTCGGGAGAAATGGCCATATATCGGGCAAATAGCCTTATTCTAAGAAAGGTACATTCTCCTGTTCTGGAATTTATTGTTTGATTGCTGGATCATATTGCATGTTTCAATATTTAGAAATTTTTGTTACATTGCAAAGGTGAGATGGTCCCTGTTGGGGCTGGGGTTTGTTCTTTTAGGAGAATGATTGTTGTGAGTCAACTAATGAAGTATAGAGAATGTTATCAGCGTTAATCTAAATTTTATGTTAGAACCGGTTTCCTTTCTAGTCGCAGTACTGCTAAATGGTGATTGGCAAGCTAGTTAACAATATCATGTCGTGAGCTCATTCTCTGAAGTGTCGGAAAATTGCATATCAGTCCTTTCCATATAATGCCAAAGCTCCTTATTACTATGAATATATCTTCTGCCTATCTTCATATACTTCTCCAATGCTAAAAAATCACATTAAAGCCTCCGTATTATTTAGAGCTCATCCTACAAACCGTCAATCATCTATGTGCTTTCAATATCTATAAAACGATGCATGAGCCCCTTATTCTTGTAAAATGTCTTGTGTCAAGTTCATATACGTCTATCACAATATTAAAAGAACGATATTGTAGTACTGCTGTTGAGAGAAGTCAGTTATTAGGTGAACCGTCTTTGTGCCTACCATGGTCGAAACTCGGTTGTTTCTATTCTTGTACAGGCTGGGTTTAATGTAGCTGAACCAGTTCTCCAAGTATTCAACGAGCAAGAGGTGGAAGTATGGCCTAGAATAGTATGGAAGCCAAAATGGGCAATTACTTTTGCTGAAGTAAAAAACAAATTAAGTGGAAACTGTAGTATCACACAGGGATCTACGATTGCTATTAAGGGACGGGATATCTTCCTTGAAGATCTTTCTCTGGACGGAACTCTTATTGTCAATGCTGTTGATGGCGCCGAGGTATGTTTTGACTAAATTTGCAAACACAACAAAACAATTTGACGAAACTGAAGTATACAATTGCATTTGGTGCTCTATGGACAGGTTAAGGTAGGTGGCCATGTACAAAACAAGGGCTGGATAATTGAACATGTAGATTATAAAGACACATCGGAACCTGAAGAGGTTAGGATCAGAGGCTTTAAGTATAATAAAGTTGAGCAGTTAGAGAACTCATACGATCAACCAGGAAAGTTTTCATTGAAGGCCTAAGGTCAGTTGCCAACAACCAATTCATTTATTCATTCAGGCTAATGTTAGTCGCTCATTTCTCAATTGAGTTGGTCAGAAAGAGATGTGAAGAATTTCCTTTGGCTGAGGAGTACTCTCAATAAAGTTAGGCTCAGGATCTTGTTTTAAGATGCTATAATGATTCTGCAATTCACTCATTTTGTAGTGATAATGTAAAGATAGCGTGTCTCAATCTTTTCAAATTTTGTGAAAATAAAGGTTTAGGAATCGTGAAATCTTGTTAAACACCCGCCCAATTTGGCCAAAAAAAAAAAAAAAAAAATAGCAATCAAACAGCTACAAAAACTTGAGGGAAAAAATGGAAAGAACAAAAAGGAATTGTGCTTTAGGTTTGAAATCTACACATGCTTTATTCTTTTTTTTTTTTGTTATCAAGTTTTTTTGTGCCGGAAATAGCTACTCCCTCTGTCCCAAAATTATTATTCAGTTTGAGATTTCACTTTTAGTACAATTTGAACTAAAAATGAAAACTCATACTTGACAATAATTATGGGACGGAGGGAGTAAAATATTAGTATTGATTTGAATGTGCAATTCATGTGAGTGAAGAGAAACATGCTTAACAAATCAATTCTTCTTTATTTATTCTTCAACTCTGGAATAATTGTCGATGATATTATAAATTATAAAAGATTTAAAAAAAAAGTGTTTTCACATTTCAATGCATAATTTGTCAATATATTTTCAAAAATACTTTCCATAATAATAAAACAAAATTACATTTATTTGTTTTAATGGGTAAGTTAAGAATAATTTAGTAATTAACATGCTATAATTGAGTGTTTCTTATACTGTGTTTATTTTGTATAACTGCATTTATGTTAGAATAATTGAAGGAGTATTATTCTTTTTTTGTTCCGTGGCAAATAATAATTGTTTGAATTAGAAGAGATATTACAATTAGTTTTGAAATTTCTGCTAATTTTAGAAAAAATTTGAAAACTCAACGAGAATATCTTTCGGGGGTTGGAGAAAATATTACTTTTATATTTTGTATAAATCAAAGTCTAGAGACAAAAATATTACTTTTATATTTTGTATAAATAAAATCTAGAGACACTTTATTTTTATTATGCTTTTGAGTTTATTTGCTTGTGACTTTAATTGAGGTGGTCAGAATTGCAAAAAAAAAAGTTCTTGATTGTGAAGTTCTCTCAATGCGTATGATTCAATACTGAAAAAAAAAAAAAAAAAAATCAATTGAAAGTATGCTCATCCTCTAAAGTGTTAGTCATCTATGTGCTTTCATCATCTAACAAAAAATCATATAAAATCCCCCATTTATCCATGTCTTGTCCGTGTAACTTACGCGTCTAATCCCCATTAATCCGAAAAAATGATAACTGCAATAAGAACCCGCGACCTAAATGAATAAACAGGTTACATATATTTTAACTCTAATCTAACATGAAATATACGAGTTAATCTGCGACTTGACCTGTTTAATCAATGAGAAAAATATATCTTACTATATTAGAAACAAAAATCACACTTAATAGAAAACACCACCTTTTGCCATGTGGCATTTCCACATCATATTTTTTAAATAAATTTTTATTTACACATCAGTTTCCTAGACTTAAAAGACAAATGCAGTTCAAATCCACTTCCACCTCCTATTTTCGCCAAAAAAAAAAAACCACAGATTTATAAAAAATCCAAATTCAAGAAGGTTATTCGTCGCACTATCGCCATTTTTTTGAAACCATCGGGAAGCTAACGGTGGCACAGAAATAAGCCAACCTCCAACTGAAAAGACTTCGAACCTAGGAAACTTAATGAATTTAATAAAAATGGTTGCAGTCAGCTAATTTTTCATTATGTCTGGAAAACAAAAAAAAAAAAATTAAAAATTCAATAACCTACTGTGGCTCAATAAAACTTTGTTTGCCGGAGGAGTCAATTGAGTGGTTTGGTGGGATAATATTAACTGTTTAATTTTGGATGATTAGGCGATAGAGGAGTTTGGAGACTCATGTTATTTGAAGGAACCTATTGCATCGGTTGCGGGTAGTTTTAGGAATTATAATATGTATGTAGGACTATTTTTATTTATGATTGGACAGTTCAAGGTCATATTAATGATTGGACAATCAACTCCCTAATCAATCCCATCTCCACAATAAAAGAAAAAAACAAATTCCTCATCAATCATCAATTGAGAATATGTGGTAAAATATACTCCTTTCCTATTAGCATGTTTAATCTTTTCATTAGTGATGATCAACTACATCCTAATCGGATAAAATTTCGACTTCAAAAAATATTCTCTTTACTTCTCTATATAAACACAAAGGAAAAAAAAAAAATTTTTCATTGATCTTGCTTCGGTCGTTGTGGTGGTGCCATTACAGATATTAAAATTTAAATGAATTTATATCCACAGATCATTTGTACGGTTTTTAGTATTTTTTATTTTTCCCGTTCAAGAATAGTGTTATTACTATTATTTTTATGCGTCCACCCATTACAGCTACCGTAGCCGTTGCCAGGTAATATGATGTGATTTCTTATATGGTTAGTTAGCCTAGAATTTATGTATGATTTTAGTGCTGTTTGGATTGAATTAATCAATTGGGTTTTTGTTACAAGGTGTGGTTTTTTTAATTTCTTTTTTATGTTTCATTCAATTAGAGTGGTTTTCTTTTTTTAATTATTATGGAGTCTCAGTTTTTTTTCGTATATGGTCAGTTATGAACTGTGTTTTTTCTTTGTTTAAATGCTTTTGATTTTGTTTCATACTCCAAGTTGATCAATTATTATTATTATTATTTTTTTTTTGCAAATGAAGCGCATTTTTTTTTTGTGTTTGGGCTTTCAAGAATATAATTTTTTGGATTTGATTTTTGGACTTTTTTGAGTTCCTTATCATATAAATAGTTCAGGTCGCTTCTTCTAACTAATTTATGGGGAAGTCTTTTATGAATTTGAGGTGGAGAGGGAAGGAATGATGTTTTTACGTTTATTTGTGTTTTTATACATCATTTTTACCTATAGGAAAAAAAATAATTTCTCAATTTTTAATGGGCTCTTTAACGTTCTTTTTTTTTATTTGCCATAGTGAGGTGAGTTCTTTTTGGCTATAACTTGAAGCCTATGCAAATTTACATTAATTTTCATTCTCATATTTGTGATCAACCAGTTTCGACAATTAACCAGTTTCAAAATCATATTTTTGATATTTTACTACCTATAAACCTTTGGAAGAAACAGTTCCAATAATTAAACGTACACCATTCGGAGGAAGCTTACTACAAAACTATTATAAATCTCCAAAACTAAGTATTGATTTGGCACGACAAACGGAAAACATCAATAAATCATCTTACTAATATTTAAACTTATTAGGATACTTTTATATTTTGTCTAACATTTACTTCAAGACATATACTTGATCAAGTTTATTTATATTTAATAAGTAACATTTATAAAATGTTCTAAAATGTTCAAGCATTTCTAAAATGTATCGGGCCAAATATAATTTCCTTTTTTGCCAATACAAACATTTCTATGATCACACTTATAAAACATTTCTAAATTTTTCAAACATTTCTAAAATATATCGGGCCAAATACAAAATATTTTTTTTTTCAAATACAAACATTTATAAGATCTACAGATATATTGGGCCAGGGTCGCGCATTGCGCGACCAGACATCACTAGTATTTATTAGGAAAAAATCGGCTTCATTTTAACAACCAGTAATCACTCGACACCTGGAAAAGGAAGAAGCTCGGTTTCACGCTTAAGATAAAACAACTGCCACTCCATAAGTAACCTTTTAGCAATTTCCAGTTGCCAAACTACCAAAAGTTCTGACCAAATACCAAGTAACAAACCAAGAAAATAATTCAAGTCACAAATAAATATTCTGCCTCGACAAAATAGTCATGATACAAATTTCGAAATTCAATTTACTTTTTTTTCTTATTTTTTCGAACAAAGGAAATACATGATACAAAGAACTTAATTATCTTCAAATCTCACGTAAAAAACAACCAATCCAAATTCACCAAAGATGACCTTCAACAGATTCAAATCTTCTCAACAACTTTATAGATATAGGATCTATAAAGCTCATGAAAAGCTAGTCCTTTAACTTGAATTTTATTTTTTAGATACATGATACAAGTATTACAATTTATGACACGTAGACTATTACACAAGATCTACAATTATAACTACAACTCATGTTTAAGCCTTCTGCTGGTGCTCAAAGATGTGCAGATCTCCTATTTGCTGCAACTAAAGCGCTTTACTTCATTCACCGGTATAACTGCTTCGGGGGGGAGGGGGGTCTGTTGCGCCAGCCGACCAAATTAGACTTCAACTGCATTTTCTTCGGGGAATCGCCTGCAACTAGAGCGGTTTACTTCATTCACCGGCATAGCTGCTTCGGGGTCCTGTTGCGCCAACCAACCAAACTGGACTTTAACTGTAGTTTCTTTGAGGAATCGACATCTCTATGGAGTAAGAGTTGATTAGGCTTTGTCACAATACTTCCTGCAATAAAGACATTTTAAAATACCCATTAATTGACTCGAAACTATAACCTTAAGGTTGAGTGTGTTTGTCCTTATCCACTGAACAACCCATGATTCACTTGAAATGTAGGATCTTCATATTTTACAAATGTGAAATCTTCTCACATATTTAAACATATGTATGTAAGATCTTTTCTTTTTTTTAAAAAAAAATTGTTTCCTTTTGACATCATTTTATTTTGATCAGATTGGCTAATTAGTCGACTATATATTGGCTAAAATTAGTTTTTTTTCATCCACCAATTAAAAAAACATATATTTGGCCCTATTACACTGTATGTTTACTCTTTTTGGTCCAACATCAATACTAGCCCGTAAAATATTCTAGTTCGGTAATTTGGACCAGAAAGAGTAAAAATGAAAGGTGCCGGCTTAAATAGAATATATTCTTTCATAGATGACCTGAATTGTTTCTTGGATCAATATGCATTTAGTGTTCATCTCTCGTTTATGATGATACTAGTACTGTCTTGTTGTAGCATTTTTGCAGCAAAGACAAAACATCATAACTTATTAGAACATTAAAATGTTTGCATTTTCGGGAGCAAGTTTTGAGATATGAACTCGTTTTTATAAAAATGAATGCAAGAACAAAAATTTAAACAACTACAGCTTTTCATGAGCTCACATATATATTAAAAGACATAGATCATTCTTGTGGCGAAGGCTATAATATTGAAGAGGTATTTACTGAACGATCAACAAAACAACAAAGAAAAGATGCGAATTTATTATTACAAACCCATAAAGATACTTTGAGAATAAACAAAGGAAAATAAAAACAAAAGTAATGTGTTTGTACTTCGTGCTAATCTTCAAATAATGGTTAAGTTAATACTAAAGTTAAATTTGGATAAGAACTCTTTAATAACAACATTATTGTTTTTCTCAATTAAATTTTTACTTGAAGTATTTTAGTTATATAGATTCACACCCTTATTGCACACTTGAAATAAATACGTAAGCAAATGTTTATGCTACATGACACAACATCAGAACAAGTCTCTAAATTTGAGTTTTAATTGAAGCTAATATGATTACATAAATCTTTAATGTGAGTAAAATATTTCTTGTACGAAGAGAAACTACGTAAATAATTTCCAGTTTCCACACATAAGACATTATTATTTGTGCGAAGAGAAACTTCGTAAAGAGAGGATGTTGAGTGATCTCCAATTGACGTCCAATTGCAAAACAAAGAAAAAAAAAAAAGACAAAGTAATGAAGTGCTAGCTTGAAATTCCAGAATGGAATGGGTCCCCCAAGTCTTCAATTCAATAACCTATCAATTATCTGTCACAATTTAAGATCTCCCAATGCAAATTGCAATATGCTTTAATAAGATATTCAGTCTATCCAACAACTCCAATTCTATACATACATAAAAAAAAAAAAAAACAAATTTGCTCAAAAAGTTGGACCCTTTTTCCTACCTACCTGTCTGCAACAAATGTCTTCAATATCATTGCCTCCAACTTCATCATCATGTCCTTCCTCAGAACCACAGATTTGCAGAGAATCTTTCAAGAGCTGGACAAAAATGGTGATGGGTTCATAAGTGTTGATCAGCTCCAGTGCCTTCTTGACAAAATTGGTCATTCTCATGATCAAACAAAAAGTGCTGATGAACTCCAGAAATTATTTGGAGGGAAGCCACTTCTGGATTCCATTGATTTTTACTTCTTCTATAAATATGTGATCCTCAACAATGTCGTAGAAAATGAAGGATCCAAATTGGATGGTGATGAAGGTGATGATGATCTCATGAAAGCTTTCAAGGTGTTTGATTTGAATGGTGATGGATTCATATCTTGTGAAGAATTACAAAGTGTTTTGTTGAGGTTAGGCTTATGGGATCAGAATAATGGCCAAGATTGTCAGATCATGATTAACATGTATGACAAGAATTCAGACGGTATGCTTGATTTTGAAGAATTCAAGTTCATGATGTTGTTATCAAAATTTTAATTAGCTAGGTTTCTCAGTTTTACTATTTTATTTTCATATATCTTTGGGACAAAATTATTATTATGTAGAGCTAGGTGATAATTCCTATTTTTTGTTTTTGTTTTTGTTTTTTTTTTTTTGGTAGTTGAAATGTTTCACTTTCATTTCAATGTTGTTGTCAATTAGTGCTTTTATTCTTTTTGTTGGAGGGGTTCGATAAATTCAATGTATAATTGCTAGTACATATAAATACAATTTCTTAATAATAATTGCATGATCCTTCTACTTTTTTTTATTATTATTTGTTTGCCTTTGCCAAATAGGATGAAAGGTTGAAATAATGTGAGTACTGATAGTTAATTATTTCAATTTAATTTTATAGTTGATTTCACATAACGTTCATTTTACTTATTATTGATTAATTGGTCATAACATGTTCAATTGGCTCAAACTAGGTCATTGTAACAATTCCTCCGTTAGACACAAAAAAAAAAAAAAAAAGACTCTTAAAAACTAAGGGTTTACTAATTAACTGCTGAAATGCATGGAAAATACATTTCGTCTTCATCCTGAGGGCATAAATTCAATATTAGTATGTCTTACGTGGGTGAAACCGTGAAAATACGAAAAACAATGTCACGAATGAGTTGCTTTCAGTCGTTCCTTTTTCTTTCACATAAAAATCAACCCACGATCAGGAATATAAGTGAAACTTTAACTAGCTAACTTTTCTTTTCCGAGAGTAACTCATTAGTACTTTGAAAAAATGAAGTACCTGCAGTTTATAAACAGATCACACTGTAAACATGGTTAGTATCCAATTTATATTTTACTTTATGCTTTAATTTCTTAAAAAAAAAAGAAGGAAATGATGTGATTTTGTGTATAGACGTACGAAGTCAACCTAACAAACAATGAGGGGAGAGAAGTAACTCTCGAACAATATGAATCTGGCCAAGGGATTAATATTTTAAATCTTTGGTCAGCTCTTCTATCTATCTAGGTAACTGATACGAATGAAAAAAATTAGTTAGTATTGTTGACGATTGATATCTCGTATTTTTAAAAAATAAATAAAAAATTACAAGAACTACAACATGGCTAAACTACTTAATGATAACATGATGAAGCAACGTCTCGAGTCCGCCGTTTCGAGATGGGAAACAATGCTTTTTGTGTGTGTGTGTCTATTTAGGAATAAAATTCTACAAGACGAACTTTGAATTAGTTTTTCTTGTTCTGAAATAAACTTTGAATTAGTTAATTAAACAGATTCTTATGTATTTTCTTCCTCTCGCTATTCTAACAGTATTTACACTACTTGACCTGAAATAGGTAAGCAATGCAGGTTTTTGTTTTTTTTTTATTCAATCACAGTATAAAAGTCCAGAAAACAACCCTAGGGCAGGGAACATGAAATTACTAGGGGGAGAAATCTTCTGGAACTTACGAATCCCTTAACGAGATTCATAAAAAATCCGGCCATACATATCATATAAAATTCTTACCATTTCCCGTCTCATTTTAATATTTCCTATTACTTCTGTTCCAAACAAAAAAAAAAGCATATTAAGTATTCAAATTTGTACTAAAAATAATACAAAAATCAAAATTCGACATCAATGATTTTTTTTTAAAACAGAGGGAGTATATATTAGTCCCAACTTTTTTTCATTTTGTGAGTTATTTTGAGCTTCATCAATGTAGGAAAGCTTTCCTCCTTCAAGTTATCTATATATATATATATATATATTAAAGGAGAGTTGATCATTGAACACGTGTCGCCCAATTAGGCCTTCAATAGATTCACTTGACACGTGTCGTTTTATTATTGGCTCATCATTAAACCGTAGAAACACATTAGTAAACCGTTAATTTATAAACTATATACTATAAATTTTTATTTAGATAATTTCCCGTCCTTTAACTCACAAGGAAATACAAAGGTGACATAATTGAATCAAATCTCTTTTGAAATTCAAAATAACTATTATATATAAAAAATATTTTCACTTTTAGCGGTCATCGTTAAATTAATAAATGCTGTTAAATGATAATATTGTGATAAATATTAATTGATTTGATTAAGCTAGGTTTACCGTGTATTTTATTAACTCCGGCGGCTAATCACTGAAAATCCTAGACCAATCTTTACGTACTATTAATACTAAGTAAACCAGAGTCTCAGATACCTCAAACCATCACACAAATAATTTATTAGGTTTTTTTATTAGTCGGATAATCCATCATAGGACAACCAAGACTACAGATTCGATTACAAATGCTTCTTGGAATATGGTTGCGCAACTGTTAAATAGTAATGTCTTGCTATTGATCCTGCAAGTTTGTTGAGTTATTTAAAAGTTTCGGCTATTTTTTCTTGTGCCAATGCTTGTTTGTTCTATATTTTGGCCGCCAATATATTGTTGTTGTTGGAATGATTTTTACGGTCTATCTTGATGAATTTTAAACAAAAAGAGAAATGACGGAAACAAAAAATAAACAAACGGTTGTCCTTTTCGGCTGAAATATTGAGCTTTCTATTTGGTTGTGAAATTAACATGTTTGTTCGGTTTAAAGAATCGACACTGTAACTGATTGATTTAATCGATTGATCAATTATAGACGCTCCTGACTAGATGATTTGAGAAAACTTATTTATGTGATTCGGTTTGATTAGTTTAATCTTTTGTACTCCCTTCAACTAAAGATTCTAATTATATTAATCTTTTGTGAATTTTATTTTCATAAGTGAGTTTGAATCAATTTGAAGTTCTGAGTAAACATGTATAATAAAATATTTTCTTGGTGAGAATTCTATGGTGAATCTGAATATAAAGAATTAATTACTCTATTGATCGCATGTTTGTGTGCTTTGTGCAGGTTACTTGGGAACATTCCGCAATAAAAGCTCAAGGTTCAGTTTCTTTTTTTTTCTTTTAATTTCTGCCAATCGGTGATTGGAATTTTTCCTAAGATGATACTTAATTAGAATTCCTCCGTCAAAGAACATGTTATCCCGTTAACGTTTTTACCTTTGTAATTTAACACGACTTCGCCCCATCAACAACTTTTCTACATTGGTTCGAGTTATCACCGGTAGAAGAGAACCAAAATACAGAACTGGGGACTTATTTGTAGCGGTCCTCCAAAATCAATCGAGAAACTATCCACCAATATCCAAGTTGCTTACGAATATATGAAAATCCCTATACAAGAAGTGTCGTCAGTCCGCAAATTCAAGAAGCTTGGCTTTGGTTGACAGAGTCGGCAAGGCAATAACAAAACAGATAGAAGTTGGAAGTCGGCGGCGACAAAGGGGCAGCAAGAACAGCAGCAGCAGCGGCAGCCGCAAATTCAAGAAAGAAGCAGCAACGGCAAACAATAAGCAGCTACGAATAGCAAACAACAATAATCAACAACAAATAGCAGCAATGGCCACAAGCAACAGTAGCCGCGACGAGAAAGAAAAGCAGCAGCATGGCAGAGAGTGGACGGAGCAGCGACAGCGGCGAATCGACTGAGAAGAAGAAGTTGCATACGTACCCAACCGAGACATCAACACACTTGATCACAAGAGACGGAAGTAGAGAGAAGGTCAGAGGGGAGAACAACAACGGCAATAGGAGGAACAATCGGACGGCAAAGAAAACGAAACCCAGCCGAGGCTTCAGCCGACGAATAACAGCAGCAGCGGTGATGAAAAATGTCAGTAGCGTATAATAGCAATAAAGCAAGAAGTGGATGTGATAATGACGCTGGTGATGTTGTGCACCAAGGAAGAAGAAGAAGCAGCGGCGTCCGTGGAATTGAAGACAGAGAAGCAGCAACGGCAAGAAAACAATGACAAGAAAAGAAGGTGACCGTGATGTTCAAGAAGAAAACCCTAAAAATTTGACAGCCCTAGAAAAAAGAGGCTCGAGATCACAAAAGTATGAAAATCCTTGACAAGTATTGTATTAATATTACAGATATATATAGTACAATGATATATATACAATTACAATTACAATAATTTTGTGATTAAAAAGAAAATACTCATACGGGAATTAAGCCTTAGTGTCTTCAATTTGTTGTTCTCTTATGAATTCAAAGAAAATGCTCATATGGGAATTAAGCCTTAATGTCTTCAATTTGTTGTTCTCTTATGAATTCATCTGTATCATTGATTTGCATAATCTGTTCACTAATTTGTTTTTGCTTATGTGTGTGTGTGTGTGTGTGTGTGTGTGTGTGTGTGTGTGTGTTTGTTTGTTTTCTTTGGAATAAAAAAATCCATTCACCAGTATAGTATTTTCGTCACCACTCAAGGAAAAGTATTTTTATGGCCTTTGGTAGGATTGAGAATTGCTCTAAATATATAGTGTGCCTCCCCAATTTTTGGTTGCCATTTGTGGTCTTTCATAACTATATTAGCCCATTAAAACGATCTTAAATCATATATTGCTCTGACGGTAGTTTAGTGCACCAAGTAATTGTCATTTCGGTCATTAAAGATTTCACTTTTCTTTGAAATACTTGGAGTTTTTTGTACTCACGACAGTAGCATCTATTTTAGTAGGATTTGTTTGCTTCCCTTTTTGATGCGGAGATAGTTTTTTGTTGTGCTTTGCTTAAAGTAAGGGTGTAAAAAGTAGAAATTCACTTTTGTGCGCTGAAGGTTTCAATATGCTTTCCGGCCCTTTTCGAGGCCTCACATTAATTGTAATATATGATTAATCTCCCTGCAACTCATATGACAACTTACGGACCCTTACTAATATTAGAGAGACTTCATTTGCGTTGTGGGAAGTGGTGGCAGTAAGGCAATGACAACTTCTTCTTCAGTAGTCGGCCGATGAAAAGGTAGTCTAAAGGAGAAGCAACAACAAAAGTCTAGAGACCTACTGATTTAGTAGTTTCTTAAGTATGGAATTGCCTAATTTCTTTTAATTTTTGCTTTTTTTTTTGGCTTTTTATGCTTCCTAAAATCATTATTTTGTTTCATTATGGATTGGTGTTTTATCAAAAATGATGAAAATCACGCTAAACTTTTTTTTAATGATTGTCACATCCCGGAAAATGTATTAGGGCTCAAGTAATTTATAGAGATGATTTCCACTAAATTCCATTTGTCGTAACGCAAATTTACATGAAGCATAGACTTTTATCGGTTAGTTAAAATTTATCTTTCTCCTATATATATGTAAAAAAAGAAAAAATTATCTTTCTCTTTGAGAAACAAGGGGAGGGACTCATATCTCATAATACTATGGAATAGTTTTTTACAAGATGAATTTGAATGT